GCCAACGGTAAAAATTCAAGCACTTTGAGTCTAGAAATGTCTCGTGGCCTTGTGCCGGTAGTCATACATCTCCGCTCCATGCCCTCCTTCTTCCGTTAAGTGCGCCTCGTGGAGTCGTGGGAGCGCAATACCCGAACTATGCGATTCCCAACTATGCGATTTCTAAAACACACGATTTCCTAACTATGCTTTCCCTGCCAGAGTCCTGCCGGCTGATGGCCCATCCCGGCTATCATCCTGCCAATCGATCCCACCGCCGGGCCGCAGTGGCTCTCCGCTTTCGGCATAGCTGCGTTGCCTTCCTGCCTCTCTCGCAAGGCAAATGTGCGAGGTTTCTGCGACGCGAATTCCATTTTCCGCCTCGCCTCGCCACAAGCTTTCGCCTGGCGGTTGGTCGTGTCCGCCACGCTGACCTTCTTCGATCTTCCCGAAACTAGACCGGCTGTTATCCGTCGCATAGTCCAAGCGACTCCACTAGGGAACGCGCTCGCCATGCTCCAGATGACCGGCATCTGCTGCAGTATTCTGTCCAGCGCATGCTGATACCTTCGATGAACAACTGTGGATGACCGACGCGCGCTCTTCCCCCTCAATCTCCCGATGTCACGGTCGACGACCAACTCTCCCCATCACCTCGTCCCGCGTCGTCGCTTCTCGTGTCGTGTCTCCCTTCCTCACTCTGCTCCGCATCCTTGCCTGCCGTCTCCGCTGCAGGTCGGATGCGTTCGGTCATGCCCGTGGCTCCCGCGGTCTTCCGGCCAATCGTCAGCGCCATCATCATCTCGTCATGACCGATGCTGGACGGGACTCACCGTGGCGTCGGAGGGCACGAACGTGTACTCCCTCCCGTTCCGCGCGACGTAACATTGCACATTCACCCTGTGGCGCAGGACGAGTGTCCTTGCGAGGTCTTCGAGCTTGATCCTCTGTCTCTTGAAGACTTCCTTTTGTCTCCGGGCGTTGCAGTGTTCGAATCGCCGTGCTTCCCGGCTGGGACGGTACTCGCAATCGCAGTGCCACATGTCGCCACCACGCGAGACGATCAACAGGCAGACCCGGGCTCCCATCTGGTGCCTCATCTCCTGCGCTTGCTTCCGCAGCTTCCTCCAGCATGCCCTCAGCCCGTCCCGTGTGTCGCTGTGGCGTTGCTTCGGCATCTCTCTCGTGTCCTGTGAGCCGCTCTGTCCTCCATCGCATCGCTGGCTTGCTGCCCCTTCTTATGTTTCCCTCTCAAACAGCCCTCCGACAACCTGCGACGAACGCGCACCATACCTTCCCTCACGACACAGTGGTGCAACGCTTCAGGTATTCATAGCAACAGCACCCGCAGCGTTTTCATCCATTGAGGGGGGCGCCAACCCCCATCCTTCCGAAACACGGCGGAAGGACGTCCGCCGACCCTTATCTCGACCTCCCCTGCTCGCTAGACCGGTCTCCCCCGCTGCTCTCGCAAACATCCTCCGTTCTGATGTACGGTCTCTTCGTCCTCGCCACCATCGCTCTGGCCTGCTGGTCGCTCCCGCTCATCGTTCGCGACGGGAGGGCGCTTGCAATTTTGTCGCGCCACCAGCTCCGTCGCGTCCGGTCTTGCGTCGTCTCGAGCTCACATCAGCTCGAACGCCACGACATATCGAGACGCCAGCAGCTCCAGACGCTCCTACGCCTCCTACGGTGGCTCGCCCTCACTGCGCGCCGGAAACTGGAAAATTTGTCCGCGATCCGTGCCTTCGACGTCTTCAGCACAGCTCCGTCCGCCAACAACCGGCAAGGCGACGCGGTGCAGCTCTCGCATGTCATGTGGACATTTGTACGCCCCTGCTGGAGAGGTCTCTACGGGTCGGATTTGCTGTACGAGGTTTGGGAACAGTTGCCACAGGTGCTATGTTGTCATCGCTACCCTACCATACGAACACTTGCTGTCCTGAGTACAGTCGCTTTCGGGGTACGCTGTAAAGTGGCCTCCCTACTGACTCATGCTGATGCTGCACAGCTCGGCGCTACCCTCGGTGGGATCACTGTCTCCGTCGTGGCCCTGTAGTTTCCACGTCTAATGCATCCACTCTCATTGTGCGCTTCTGTGCCGGGCGAGATCCGTGGTGTGCTCAGGATCTGATCCGGCCATGTTGCTTGTTGTCGGAGATTTTTGCATTCGCCTGTATCATTTAGCTTTAATAGCCAGTCTTGCGGCGGATCACCCTCATCCCATGTTCAGAGTCCTCCATATGGTATTGCCCTGAAGACATGTACGATAGGAAGTGAATGCGAGGCGTCGCCTCTTATCACCTTGACACCTGAAGGACATCCCAATTTCGCAATGCACTCGCACCTCGAAAGTGGAGGAACCCTGGGTATCTGGCACATCTGTCGCCGCACTTCCGAGGACTGCTCTCGAGATGCGGACCTGTGCCTGCAACTGCAGCAACGTGAGGGGTGAGTGTTCGAAGCACGACCTCCATGTAGGATTCTCGAACGCCGCGGAGCTGCAGAGCGCTGAAATCTACAACGCCGGTATCTCGTGCTGCCGTTCCTCTTGTCGATACCTCATGAATCTGCATTCATCGCGCGGCCGTCATGATGGACGCACCTCGGATTGGCTGAGATATTTTGTCCCCAGCACCACAGAACGCCCTTACGGCATGCTTGGTCGAGGTCTCACTGGGCCCAGTCATCCGCACGCTGACGTGCCCACCGTTCAAGCCCATCTGTGTCGGATCGCATCCCCGCGTCAGCATATCAAAGTGAGTCTTGCCGGACAGTCCGCCCTCTCGACGCCTAACAGTTGCCTTCGGATCTCGCAATGCGGACCATATTACTCATGTGGTTCGTCACAGACTGGATCGAGATATATGGCACGTGATCGAAATAGGGGAACTCGTAGAAGGCGTCATCTAATTGCTTGATGAGATAGCGGTCTCTGACGCCGCACGCTATAGGCCGACACCTCATGTTAATCGAAATTGGAGTCCCCCACGCCGCATATCGTTCCTATGTATAGCACAGCCAGTGACGCTATGGCAGAAAGCCTGCCTCTCGGCGCGGCGCAGTCGTTGCGTGCTCTTGCAGAGTATAATTGATATCCCTCGTACTGCGGACTCCAGAAAGGAGACTAACGTTAGACGTGAAGAGCCGTGAGGTAATCGCGAGGTTACACCCACAAGAATATTGGTCCGCTTCTCACACTGAGTCCTTGACTCCTCGATCCATGCTTACACCGGCTCCATGTGGTTACCGACCTTGTGGTCCCAATGAGCAGGCGAAGCACTATTCGCGTCATATAACATCAGAAGAAGGTAAGCGTAGTCTTTCGATCATTAAGCATTTACCCGTCGGAGGTGTTTGCTACAACCTCATTTCCACGGCGGCGGGCCTCCTTCTCGTTTGCTAAGCGACTTGAGAAGCAGATTCAGAACGCAGCAAGCGTTCTTTCGAGTCAGATTCCCCGAGAACGAGCGCCAGAGTCCCGTCCACTTCAGGGCTTTCACAGCGGACAGTTATGAGTCGTTGAAGCGACGCGAGCGAAAGAAAGTGCGCAATGCGGAAAGGACGGCACATAGGAGTGGCTTCGTCGAGAAAGGCCATGGTGAATCGCCAAGAGCAGATGCAGACACGCCCAGCCAGTGTTCTGGAGTTGCTGGGCTGGACTTCCACCCTAACCCTTCAGTCTATCGCAGCTGAGCTTGCTTGTCTCCCCAATGACGACGAGGCAGAGCTGGCAGAAGTGTTCCTACCGCGCATGGTGCCCTGGGAGCGGTCTTCACCGGGGCCTCTCGATCTGAAGTCGCCCAGCCCGGACACTCGGCCAGTGTGTGCCGTCCATCTGAAGACGATGTAACATGTCCCTCTGCCTGCGTTCCTGACACCTTTGGCTCGTCATGGGAGGATTCTATTCTGTGTGGAACGTCCCGCATGGCTCCCACAGATGATCATCTGTGCCAAAGACCGTAGACCTACCGCGGGCTTCCGACCATTCTTCTTTAGGCCGCTGGCCTTTGCCCTGGACCACGAATGTCCACTGCTTTTCTCGTCCTGACCATGCCCGGAGACGTGACTGCGTCTGCACGCTTGAGCTTGAAGAAGGGGCCGCCGTTGACTTGGGCCGAACACTCTGCTCCACAGAGCTTTGATGCTGCGCTCGTTTGTGTTGCGTCTGTCAGGGTGGAGAAGTCTGTCTTTTCGATCGGCTTGTCTTCAACGTATAGCCATGGAGAACCCTCGCTGAGAATACCAAAGGCTTGACCGGCAGCTGGATTGGCACGAAGACTGGCCTGCTGGACCTCATAGTAGATGTGTTTATGCGGCAAGCCCATCGCTCCAAATCGTTGAACGGCGATGGCCTCTTTCTCTCGCATGGTACGTCCATCCAGCAATCCAAAAATGCCCCTGCTGTTGTCTGGTCGGGGAAATGAGATTTGTGTCCGGTATAGAGGTCGCGGATCTTATCCATCAAGCTGTGGAAATGATTGTCGCTTTCGTCCGGCTAGACAACGCGCTTGAAGGAGGATCCTCCAGGAATAGGTGGAGGGGGTGCAACGTGGCCCAAAATGATGGCATGACCCAACACAACGATTGGGGTACAGCCATTGAGGTTCTGAGTACCTATTGCAGCGCCTCCGCTTCCTGGCAAGAGAATCAAAGCGTCGTTCACATCGACCTCGAGAAGTTTTCGAGCTCTTCTGAGCTGGTGAAACCTAGACTCTGCGGCAGCCATTTCTCAAAAGGGAAGTACAAAGAAAGTTATCGTAACCGTATCTAACGGTAGTTTCTGCAAGCGATATACATTGTATCTGTACCTTTTCTCTGAGCCCAAGCGGATGTGGGAGCCTTCGACAAGAAGCCTTACCGCGAAGCGGAGCGGAGCATAGCGTAGCGGGGCAAAGACGCAGGGTTCGGTCCAGCCTCATCTGGCAGCCTTCTTCTTCGCACTTTACCATCCTGCACTTCTGCTCTGAAATTAACTCGATTCACCTTCGCGACCCTTACTCAGTACAGAAAACAACAACATGGACCCATTTGACCACATTCTTCAAGGGGTTTCGCCATATCCAATACTTTTGGCCAGCATTACCAATGGCGACATTCCTTCTGTGCGCCGTGAGCTTGAACAGCTCGCACAACAAAGCCCAGAGATAGACCTGACACCCGCGCTGCTCCATTGTGTCCACAAAAGACAAGAAGAAGCCATGACTACCCTGTTGGAGAGCAGCGCCACACCAGAGGAATCAGTAGTTGAGGCAGCAGTAGGGACTGGAGAGGTGACGATGATCAAACCTCTCTTGATTCACGGATGGCCGATAGACCATACACTCAGAAGTGGTATCATGCCTTCCTTGCTCGGGTAAGAGCACCTGTCTCTTCTGGATGGGTTTTCGTTCTAACCGAGATCGTAGTTATGCTGTCAACAATGAAGAGCTTTTGACGTGGCTCCTTGCTCGCGGAGCTGATCCAAATGCGCTATCGACCATCGCTGAGACTCCTTCGTCGGTCGCCGTACGAGACGGAGCAAAGAGATCAATCCAGATGCTTTTCGATGCTGGAGGAGATGCCAACATTGGGAATCTCCTACACTGCGCAGTAGAGAGACGAGCAGGTCAGGACACTGCAGAGATCATCGAGCTCCTTATCTCTCGAGGGGCGCCAGTCGATGGATTCGAATTTGAGCAGCCCTCAGCGCAGCAGTTGAGATGGGGATTCAGTCGCGGAACCGCTCTCCACAAGGCATGCTATCTTGGAAATTCAGAAGCTACTTCTGCGCTTCTGGAACATGGTGCTGATCCGTATTGTAACCGCCGCTACTATGACGAAGAGGAGCAATGCACTCCACTTGACGTCGCCAGGGCCAACGGCAACGAGGCGATTATGGCCATGCTTCAACGGAATCTTGCGAGGTCACAGATGGCAGCAAAGATGTAGGGCTGTACATCAAGAACCGTACGATGGTCTGCAGATATGCGCAATCAGCCACTCCAATTTCGGATTCTGTGATCTCCAAGTGAGACGCAAACGACCCCATCGCCCTGGACGAAGTAATGTTTAAGAAGCATGATGGTTTCATTGAACAACAGTGTACCAGAGGTTGTGACGCCCTGTTAGTACTGATGGCCCATCATATCGCCCGGTCGCACAAGATATCGCACACAGACGGCGCCATAGTTTGGCATTCTTCGAGGCATAAATTCGACTTCGTCCCAGATGAATGTAAGTTCTCGATTCAGCATCATGCAAGAATGCTCGAGCAGAATGTCACCCACACTACTCTCACTCTGTTCAACAATGCGATAGGAACCTCGTTTTTCGAAAAGCCAACGTTGGACCACTCCCGTGGCCTGATCGTCCAGCTTGACACGGTCCGTATGGAGGCAGAAATCGTGGCACAGTACGGCCATCCTGAGGGACAGTGGACAAGCGCAAGAGGTGCGTGTATCGACAAATGTCATCCAATCACTAGAGACAGCTTTCAGACGTTATCGGATGGCAACAACTTTCTACGCTGGACGTACAACTCTTACATCTCGAAGCATGCCCCCGACAGCACGGCTGTACTGGATGCGAGGCTATCTGTTCTGTTGACATCCTATCGCGCCTTCAAGCATGAGTGGGCGAGAAGACTCCAAGGGTCAGCAGACATTCATGCTAGAACAGTAGGCGTTGGTGATCAAATCGTGACCGACATCCATGGCAGCTGAAACGACGACACAGAAACCAGGCAGTGGGAATTCCGCGAGGTGGACCAGAATAGGAACGCCAAATCTCCAGGCACTAGTGGTAGAGTTCGATACCAGATGTGAACACAGGAAATTCACGACAAGTGATTGCTCAATTGCTGGATGGACACGGCAAAGCCCTTGCCAAGTCAAGAACGGCAACAACCCTGGAGACGACGTCGATCAACAATGATGCTTCGAAGCCGGATACATAAGAAACTGGCCGCCACTGCGCGGCGCTCTTCCACAGGACAATGATGCAACCCTCCTCAGCGATCAAGCAAATTCTCCGCCCCCATCTTCCCTGCAGCGGGCTGATATCACTTTCGAGTCTGGTCTTGTGGTCGGTGTCATGGGAAGCGCTTTGGTTTAGGCCGGTTGTCGCCTATGCATGGAGTACCACGGCAGGAACAGGTGATGTACCAGAGAAGCCAAATACATGCCTCAAGAGGGCATGGCAAATGGAGGGGCTTGTCGTCGCTGTACCGCTGAGGCCGCAATCCGAATGCGGAAAAGGGGCACCGAAGGCTGAACTCCTCGGTCAGCACGTGGCACTATAGCAGCAGGCGACAAAATTTTACAACTAAGCTACGACGTTCTAAATCTCCAATGCGTATCGTGGTACCGGTGGAAATTAGCAGAGTAACATCAAAACATCGGCCCTCGTTTCAACAAGATGCGAGAGGTGGAAGTGGCTCGCTTCGGAGGGAGGGACGTTACCTGCCAGACTTTTGATGATGGCTCAAACGTACACACACGTCCGAATCTCGGAACAACGCATAGCAGCGCTTTTGGAACAACTCAAGCATAGCTTTGTGCCAACGCGAAACCGATACAGCTATCTCTGGTCTACCCACAGCGGCATTCTGCCATATCCATGTCGTCCAGCCGTGCGGGATCCACAGGCCAGCCCGCGTAGACGTCTCCCTCGTATTCAATGTCATAGACGCTGGGGATGGCATTGTCGAAGAGGAAGTTCCACAGCGCGGGGCTGACATCCACCGTCGCGCCATTGACCAGACAGTCCGGCGTGGTGCGGTCATTCAGTCGGCGTCCTACGCCCACACAGCTCGCGCAGCGATCAATGACCGTTGCCGTGGCCGTCCTGTTGAGCTTCGGATTCGTCAAGGACAGCGTCTGACCACAAGTGGTGGGCGGTGGCTGTGGGATGCTGTGGTCGGTGTACTGGGTCCAGAGCGCCACGTAATATCCATCAGGCGGAGCTGCGAGATCGCAGCGAAACGCAACGTCCTCGTTATAAACGGACGCCATTCGGCCGCCCGGCCGGTATGAGGCCCGTCCGTATCGATCTTCGCGGGGTGAGAGAGCAATGCCAGTACAGAACGAATACCCTGTGAGTTCGTCAGTAAGAGGGGCAGGAGCAGACGTACCGTTGGGAGCAAGACTGGGCTCGGGTGCTGGTTTGCAGGCGAGGGTGGTCGTGTTGTGCTCAACGACGACCGACGGTCCTTTCGTCTGCACGATTCCTGCAACACAATCATATGTGCCCCTGCTTACTCGCTGCCATGCACCGGAGGCACAAATGTCCAGGATGGACGGATCAACATTTCTACGACAGCTACCCTCCAGAGCTGGTGAGCACATGGGCAACGAGAGCGGACTGGCGAGCACGAGAACGCCTTCCACCACGAACCACGCCACCGCGAAGTTGACAGGACACAGCATCAGAGCACGAAAGATTTGACCCGACGGTGTCAGTGAGGGTGATTTCGGGGAAGTTGTAGGTTTTTGTTTTGTGGGCAAGGGAGCGAACGGGATGAATAAAACGTGTCCAGCATCGACATGCCCCGGGCTGTATGGAGCGGTCAACGCTCCCGGGGTACGATTGTCGGTCCTCTTGCGGCTCCAGGCCGGACAACTTGACGCGACACATGTAATCTTTGACGAAATGGGACCCCCCTGCCCATGCGGATCCAAAGTTCATGCCAGAGCAATCGCGCCCGCACCACCAGTCTAACAGTAGAGGGCCATGGCTCATTTGTCACCCCGAATCGGTCGTTTTTAGCTCAGTTCGCCGTCTGCATGAAGACTCGCTACGTGCTTGAACATTATACAGGAAGGATTTGTCGGCAGTTCCCACACTCAACGAATTTCAAAATGGTCGTGCCACTCTCGCCCACTGTGCACCCTGTTCATGCCGTGTTGACTCTCAAGCTGCGTTGCTGAGCATCGGATGCTGTAGCATTCCATTTCCGCCCTTGCTCACGAGCATCCTGTAGACAAAGGAGAAAAATGACCAATCAAGAATGATGAGTCAAAGCCGGGACGAGGTGAGGGATTAAAACTCAAACGAAGGAGACGTAAAAGTCAGACCACTTCTTGCCCAAAACCATTCGCGTTAGTCGTGTTGGAACTCCCTGTGGTCTGCAGCTTCGTGGTGCGCAGGCGCGGCTACCCATCGAGCGGTCCAGCACAATCAACGACAGCCCCTATCTTCAATTAGGAATCGGAATCATAGATCTTTTCTCCCTCTTGCAGGAGGTCCAACAAGACCTCAGTGGTGTTGTACGGAGACTTATGTCGCGCTCGAACGTTCGAGCTACGGGTGATCACGAGACAGGGGGACCCGTCCAGTATCCCACACCTCCATGCTGGAACCAGTGGACAGCTGTATGCCGCTGCCAACGACGTTTTACTTCGAGCCTCAGGAGGAGGACGAGTTGAAAGTTGAAGGGATCGTCTGACGACGAGGGAACGAGTACCTCGTAAAGTGGAGAGAATACCCAAGTACAGACAAAGAGCTAGGCAAGAATCTGATAGGATGTCAGCAGAAACTCAAAGAGTTTCACCAGAGATCCGAGGCGCCGACTGTTTCTGACTGACGACCGAGACGGGCAGCCTCAGAGAATTCGTCGTTTTCTTCCTCAGGTGCATTCTCGACCACGTGTCGCACCTGATCATCTAAGCGCCGGTTGTTCTGTTCTTGGACCGCCTACTGCGCGCGATACGCGCTTTCACCACCTGGATGTTATCAAGCAGCGACAGAAGCTCGTCCGTCATCTTCGAGGCGGTTTTCTCATCAGCAGAGATCTTGCTTGCCACGTCTTCCGCCACCGCGTCCAGACGTGCGACCAAGGAAGTGACGCAGGGTTTTCCGGCGCGAATACACTCCGAACATTTCGCTCTTGAAGAACCATCCATGATGGTACAGCAGTGGCTCAACATAAAACAACGATCGCAGGGAGAATCAGCAGGACGACCAAGCCCTTGGATTTCAGAAGCAAAGACGAAGACGATTTATGGAGGATCGAGACAAGAGGGAATGGTGGGGAAGTCTCGGGGAAGCACTCGGCTTTTGTAGTCCGGCTCGGCCGTAACGGCCTGAGCTAGAAGGGGGATAGTGTTACGGGCGGAATGCCCGAAGCACGATTGGTTGGACCGGAACAAGGGATGCTTGCGGATGTCTCGACGCTGTGCGACGGAGACAGGAGTCACGTGTCGAGCCCGAGCACTCGATAGCGAGACGAGCGAGCGCCTCACACTCCTTAGGTATATAGGAACCGAGAGTGGCTCTATAGAAGAGTTTAGGTATGACAAAAGCTATACAAGCGAGGTGCTGCGCATCATATGCTGTTGAATGCATCAAAGTAGCTTTCCCCGTCTCGGCATGGGTTCCATTTTGGCACGGGTGACGAGGGGTTCTGGGAAGCTGTTATCGAACATTGGAACAAATTCTCTCCGCCGAAACAGATAGTGAGAGTGGGATCGCGCAGAGCGGGACCATGCGTTGAATGTTCCCTTCAGCTCCGTCGGGCGTGCTCGGGAGACCCTCACGTCTCAGGTTCTTGCCCCTTCCTTGCATGCATCAGGTCGGTGTTTTTCTCGACTTTTCGTACCCATATCGTCTTTGTTCGCAAGATGTTCATGCGTTTCGCCACTCGTTGTGAACCCGTGGACCTACAAACGGTTGATAGGTGCAACGAATAAAGGGCGCTAATAAGATTCTGCATCACCGTGAGCCGATCCTCTCGTGTCTTCCCTCAATCCTGCTCAGCCGCTTTACCGCTAACGCGACAGCATGTGCTTCGAAGACTCCTGGAACATCTGGCAAAGGATTGTCTCAACATGTGAGGTAGTCCACGCCAGACACAGAGCTCAGGAAAAGTCGCACGTTACGCTTCTCTGCCCAAGCCACGGCGAGTCTTCCGCCGGTGCCGATCAGCGTTGGGAGTCGTTGTGTCATCTTCGTAATCCTGAAAGTTACGTTTTCCGGTTTTGCAATTCCGTGGGTCCACCTCGATGCAGTCTGAATCCTCCGCGGCTTCTGTCGATGTAGGTGGCAAGCCATTCGGTTGTAGCAGCGGACTCAGAGGCTCCGCGCTGATCGCAGCACCCATGCTGCCTCGCACTTTGAGATTGGAGTGTATAGCCGCCTCCACGTGTGCCACCACTGTCCTGAGTGACTCGTTCTGTTCGCATAGCGACTCAATGCGCGTCGTTGCCTCTTCGAGCCGGCTCCTCAAAAGTGCGTTATCTTCTTCCATGCGGTGTACCATTTCTTGCATCTTGCGAAGTTCTCGCTCCTGAACCATGTTCGTAGAATCCAGCTGAGCCAGTCGCGACTCGCGATGTGCTGCCCTCTCCACAAACTTCCGCTGTATCCGTTGCTTGGTCGTCAATGTGTTCCGCTCTCGTTCGTGCTTGCTATGCAATGCCTCTGTCTCCTTCCGCTGCTCTGTGTTCAAGGATCGCTGCTCCGTCTCCTGCTGCTCCAACCACCATCCGTCCAGCGCTGCGAGATAGTCAGATGAATCTTGCTTGGGTCCAAATGCGTCGTACCATGCTTTCTCACCATCGATGGGACATCTTCAACTTCGGTAGCTGATAGGACTGGATAGAAATAGCAGTCTGGCGCGACGTCCGCGCAACTTTGGTCGAAGACGTTAACGGGCTCGGGACCTTGCAATCGTGCAAATTCATGCCACTGGCGCGGGTCCATGAGATCAGTCAACATGGTGATGAACTCGCTCCACGGAAAAGGGAGTCTGTTCAAGTTCGCGGGGCCCGGCAGGTGACGTTTATCCGGATGTGACAGCCTACGTAAGGCTTTTATGAGCGGAAGAGCCTCGGCGTGTTGCATGCCGCTTCGCGTGTATAGGACGCCGTGTATTATGGGTGCATGTGCGCGCACACCCTCCGGCTTGTGGAGGTTCCACTCGACCATGACTGCACGCGCACACCACTAGGTCGAGAAGTCAAGGTTTCGACTGGCGGCCGTCGAAGTCAAGCATTCGGGACTGTGCCAAATAACGGTGGCGGTGTAAAAGCAGGCAGTCGATCTACCAGTCTGTAGCCTCCCACGCTGCCGGTGCTGGCAGACGAAGTCGAAGAGCACGGCTAGGGTAAAGGGGATCGTTCATTGCTGGCGCTGAAGGTCGCGAAAGGTTAGAAAGTGGATTTGACGCTAGCCGAATGCAAATAACCGTTCCTTCTGTCCACGGGCCCCCCGTCCAAGAGATTCCTCAAGCTTCCATGCCACTTGGCTTGTCCAAGCGAACACATTTCGGTCCATCTGAAGAGCGTCATGCGTTTTATGCCTGCGCCTGAAAAATGCGACGATTGCGACGTCAGGACAGCGCGGATGTCATGACGAGGAATGTTGCAGTACGTTCTTCTGTTACCAAGGGCATATCTGTGCCAGCAGGCCGTCGATGATCACGAAGTAGTGTGCCAGGGCCAAATTGCGCCTGTTGTTCAGGTTGCTTTTCGGCTGAATTTCAACATCATGCCCAACATAGTAAGCCGGTGTTAGCAATGGCTGACACTGTGGAAGTGGGATCGACCTGATCGGGAAGAACAATTTGCAACCCCCCGTCCTCAGCAGTTATAGCGTGGGCGACGGACATAGCTAATCACGCACCAGATGTGTGTTGGAAACCGGTTACTGCGTCACCTTGCTTTTCAACCGATGTGGGTTGTTCTATATATTTATGTCTTAACTACCCGCTAAGTAGATGAAATAATCTAATGGCTTATAATCTCCAACAATATGTCGATTACGGACCCCCTATATACTCGTATACCTGTATATTGTATTACCCGCGATCGAATTTAACATTAACTTTAGAAATACTTAGCCGGACGTTGTAGTTAGTTAGAGACTCTCTAAAGACCTTAAAACCAACGTCTACGACAAGCCTAAGTTACGAATTGAAGCTATACTAGCAGATTTAGATAGGGGAACATCTAGAAGACTAGCTAGATCTATTGATAAAGACAAGCAAGTTATAACTCTATTGGAAGTATATAATGTAAGCATTACTACTAGCCTAATCTTGGCACTACAAAGTATGAAAAACAAGGCAATATTGTCCCTTATATAAGATAAGGGTACAATATTGTATCTGTAATATATATATATATATCGGGTAAACTTCGGCTAAACTTCGGCTAAACCTCGGGGTACTAGGTAGGGCCTTATATATAACAACCTAGACCGTACAAAATGTACGCCTATTGTCTTTACAACTTGGATAACAAAGATGTTCTAGCTTTACTAATACGCTACCTATAAAGCCGTCTACTTAGATACTAACGAAAATGTTAAGAATTAGCAGTTTAGAGGGTTAGTAGGAGTAAGCCTAAGGTATAGCTAAGGAAGCTATCTTGTCTTTACTAGATAGCTACCTCTATCTCCTTCCTTTTAATAATATAGTAATAATCTAGTAAGGCACGCTACTATCCCGTTCCTATCGTACATTCTACCTCCTATTGTATTTCGAGCTTCCTAATATACCTTTTAATAGAAAATGATATAATATCTAATAGATATAGTTTCTCTAATATACGCCCTATAATAGTTTACTATTAATCTAGGGAGTACTATATACTTGTTCCTATACTTCTTATACTAATAAGGGCTAGTTGTCGTTTTATAGTCGATATATCTCCTATCTAGAATATACGCTAACGGCCTAGTTTCTAAGGCCCTAATAACCTCTCCTCGATAATATATTACTAGTATAGGAATATTAGGTATCTACCTCCGCTTCCTTCTCTTAGTATACTCGGGCTACTATCTACTTTATTTAAAGAGTAGAATAGTTAGTATTACGCGCTTTCCTACTGAAATTAGCTAGCTACTTCTTTCTCTACTATATTATAAAGCTAAACTTAAAGGTAAGTCTTATATTCTTACTAATATAGTTAACGGTAAAGCGGCGTAGATAGTAAAGTAGTATACTTAAGCGCGTTAGTCCCGCGTATCTACTTCTTTTCCTACGCGTTCTTTCTTCTTCTTTCTTTCTAACTTATAGATATCGCGCCGGAGGTACTTGACGCTATTACTATCTATCGAAATTACGAATATCCTTCGATATACGCTACTACCTACGCGTTCTTAATCCCTCTTACGACGCTTCGCCGCTACCTCTTTAGTAGCGTTTCGTATACTATAAGCTACGCTTTCGAGTAATACCTCTCTCCTACTAAAGAAAATATACTTATTAAGTATATTCTTCGACTTAATAGCCTTAGAAACCCTCTCTTACCGGCGTTTACGTAAAAACTCGTATACGAAATCTATCTCTCCTAACTAATACTTTCTACTTCTACGACCCCTTCCTCCTTCCCCGGTATATATTTTGTCGATAGACTACGCTAACGATATCCTATAATAAGAGGCGCGTATACGAGGTAACTCGAGAACGGGAGAGTAGTAGGTACTAGCTATTTAATAATAGTTAGCTACTTTAACGCTCTTACGGCTCTCTTCCTTAAGAATAGCTACCTTTTTAATAATATCTATAACTTTAACAAGTCTAGCTTTTCGCTAGGTACTTCTATATCGACAAGAGTACTTACAAATAAGAAGAAGAAGACCCTAAGAAAGAGAATACCTAGTAGATAAGAGTAGATTATAGCTATCGAGAGTATAAGCGTAATAGGAAGAGCGTTATCTCTACTTCTTATATATAAGGGAGAGAATACAAATACTAGGTAGATTCCTACGTCTACGCTATCGGGTTATCGATTTACGTCGAGTCGGAGAGGGTAGACTTCTAATTCTATTAGTTACAAGTAGCTTATAACGGTATTTAACCCCGAAACGAAGCCTTCGGACCCCCCGACGCTACCTACTCTTTACCGACGGGTACTCCTTGTATCTTACGGCTAGGTTTATCGCTTAGGGTTGAGGTTAATTACTATAATCGGTATAGCGGTATACTACGTATTAGTTCGATGTACTAAATAGTATACTATAGTAAATCAACCGCTATTACTTTAACAACAGGTATCACTTTAGTTCAATAAAGCATTAGTAAGAACATCTTATAGAGTTCTTGTAGTCGAAAGTAGTATACCGTAACGAGAGAGTAATAGCGGTTTACGATCTTGACTACCGTTGACTATTTTCCGTCTTTTTCGTAAAGATTACGTACATCTTGTAAGCCATTTCGTGCCGATAGAAAGATAGCTAATATGTGGTTATAGACAAAGGTATTCGGACCAAGTCCAACTAAGCTAGCCTATTGTCAACAATATACGAGACAAGCGTGGTACGCGGTACCGAGAGCTCTCCCGTATAATAGCGGCTTCAAATCGGGACGTAGCGCTTGATTTGGAATAGAAGTGTTACAGTAGGTGTGTTACGAATGTCTACTAGCATTGACGAGAGACATATACCACAATGTTCTCTATACGAAAGCACATTAGCTATAATATATTATCATTACTGTAAACTATCGTATCAGTCAAGATCACGACAACAAGTGTACTTTTTGTCGCGTATATTGTATTGCGTACATCGTGCTATAGATTGTATAGATAGGAAACACGGATAGTATAGTCTTGCAACGTGGCACTATAATGTTCACTGTAAGAGTTACGTATTGCATACCGCTTGCACAAATGAACATAGAAAGCCCAACAATCCGAAGTCCTCGACATTTTTGGCTGCGTCTTACTATAGGCGGCTGATCCTTCTTGTTTTCGTATTTTGATGATTTCGGCAAGTTCAAGCGTTTCAGAGGTATGCCTTACGCAATTTCGAAAGACTCCAGTTTCCTTTAGGCATCGAGCCATTCATCCGAAAACGACCGTCGCGTCTATAGTCCTATTAGGACTTGCATTTCGGGGTGTAGGTGTCGTGTATAGATGTCGTTAGGCAACGCTACGGACTGCGCGCATAGTCAGAGGGAACGCGAGATAGGTTTGAAGAACATCACGAACGCTTGCATTTCCAATGGCATATCTTGCCGTCACTATTAATAGCGCGATTCTTTGAAGCCATTCTGCGTACTGTTTGTTGTCCATCTCTTATGAGACCTAGATGCAGCTAGGCACGTAGCGTGTGATGCCAACGTTGAGGTTTCGCGCGGCTCGGTCGGTATGAGTAATGCTCGTGTCGGCGTGATACTCGATGGTACCAGCGTTATCCACGACAACACGAGCATCACTCATGTGATCTCTGCCTTAGCATTCTCATCGAACGATGTCCTCCTGGGTCTCACTATTCCCATAGTTCATGTTGTAAGATTCGCGTCCGGCGAAAAGGAAGGACTTAGCGCCATGCAGGATGGTTTCCGTGCGTCAGAAATATTTGCTACAGAACTAAAGCCCTCACTAGATTGCACCAGTTGCACACGAGGTATATAATTACTCCATCAGCGCACGAGTTTGGAATCTCTCCTTGGTCAACACCCAAGTAGACTTATCAGAATGACTGGATGGTTTCACATTACGAGCCTGGTCTGTAGCATTAGAAAACGTGCATCACACTATTTGGCGGGTACCAGCGAGCTTATGTCACTACTGCCCGAAGCCAACAAATGCTATACGGAAATGCATGAAGTACCGTGATGTCGACGGACAAGCCACGCAATTCTGGAAACTTGGTCACGAGAATTCGGGTGCTTCTCATTCGACTGTAGCTGAAGAACATCTTGGAAAGATTGAACGCGCTGTTGCCAAAAGGTTGAAAGTTCGACCACGAGCGACACGCAGCTTTGAACAGTGGCGCTGAAAGAAGTGAATATACAGAGAAAGCACGTGTCTCTTCTGTGGCGTGCCCGTCAACGTGGCAAATTCTCACTCGAGAACATAGAAAGTCGGGTTTGAAGAGAGATGCACGACATGGAGAGCACCAACTTCTAAATCGTGGGTCGAACAGACTCGTTGTCACGATAGCTTTTCCTCTGAATAGGATTGTGTGCACCGACTGCTGAGCCGCACTCTGACCATTTCCCGTCTACCGTAGCAAAGTAGCACATCTTACCGACCTGTCCTCCGAGCCTCCGCTTCGACTTGTGTCCAACGAGCAGTGCAGCGCTCGCGGTGGGGTCCGACCACACCCCTCTTGTTGAGTTTGATAATCACAGAACTTCCACGCGACGGATTTTCGCTTGGAATGTTTGATGTGGCATGACTGCGGAAGCTCGGCTGCATGCATTGCTTTCTCATTGGCGACAATACTTGAGTACACTCTCTTCTCAACACCATTCTCGCCGAATCCGGCAGCATCGACGATTTCGCGCTCTGCTTTGTGTTCAGAAAGCCGAACATGTACGGGGCATGATTCCTAACTTTAAGGAATCTTCAGGTTTTCTAAAGTCGTTTCAAAACTTTCTTCCCAATGTTTGCCTCTCCAGAAAATTTAACGTGGCTATCTTCCAGTGCACAGTCGGCCATAGAAAATCTCTGCTGCGTTTGCGAATTTCACCGAAAACAACTCCGAGTCATCCGGATGCGCTTTGGAATGAGCTGCAGCTCGGCTTCGCAACTCTCTAAAGGTTGATGCACCCGTCGGGGTTCGAATGGGAGCATTTGGATTGTCACAAGTACCATTGAGACTCTCCAGTTGCAACGGCAGGCTTTTCTTTGACATGCCTCCAAGCACCTTCACGGCGTCGAACGGCCGGAGTCCTGCTTTGGACCATCCAGAACGAATGTTGCAAGACTTGAAAGCGGCCCCTCTAGCACGGTCGTACAGCAAGGTGAAGTGCTGCTTCCCAATTGTGTTGGCTCCACCACGTAACAAGCTCTCTACCTGTTCACGATACGCTGTCTTCGGCGGTGCGAATACGCCAACGTCACAAGGTTGAAAACTGCATGAAACAAGGGAGAGGAGGCAGTGCAATGCACAGCCCAATTGTCCCAGGCATTCTCCAAATCCTCGAATGCCTGTATTCACCCTCCTAGGCACAAGCGAAAGACATGTGCCCCGATACTACTGATCGCATACGTCCTTGCCTGGCATACGAGCAATGTTCTGACGGGGATACCAACGTGTAGTTGCCAAGTTTTGGCGGCATGGACATTACACGCACGGTCATCTGGATCGAGTATCATGCCTCGAGAGATGGCGTTCGTGGGGTGCTCGACGGCGGGTACGCGAGGGCAAGCCCAGAGGACGATATTATTCTCGAAATCGGAAGTCATCACTTCCACGGACTCATGTGTCGCAAAACCACCGCTGATGAAAATGCGCGGCTCCCATACGCACGGGAATGTGTCGCAGGTCAAAAAGAATTCTTCATCCAATCTGGCGTGGGATGGGTCATCCATATGCTTCGACGCGTGGCAGCTGGCCAGATTGTGAGTGAGTCAAGGCTCCGCGCATCTGCAGATATGCACTCGATCGCTGTCACTATCGTACGCTGGACTCCCATGCCTCTACAATGGCGCAAATCATCTGTACCTACCAGTACTCTCAGCGACTTGGGCGCACGGAGCAGTATGCCTGTTTCATCCATAATATAGACATTCTTGTGCGAGATCGTGGCAGCTTGAAGCTCTTTGCGTATGATGCTGAGCCACTCTTCCGTCTTATCATAAATGTTGTGGTCATGTCCGATTCTTTCCTGGGAGGCGGAAGGAACGACAAGAGGCATCCAGGTACACTCCTGCCTCGCCTTACCCATGGACATGCCAGTACGTCAAGAATTTCCAATGGAAGAAAGGTCTCCCAGTCCCACTCATCACAAACTTTTCGGGCGGACGACAGCGTCTTGTCGCAGTACGCACATGTCATGTGTTGTGGCAAGATGCGTGAGGCGAAAGCTGTGCTGAGACCGGTCATGGACGCGAAATTGTCATATAGGTAATTCTAGCTTCATAGAGGCGTAGAGGACGTTGGAGTTTGTGTATGAAAGACTGTCCCACACCTTACTGAAATGCGGTGGCTTGTGCAAGAATTTGCGCTTGTCCGTATGTAGGTGCGCCAATTTTGCGCAAAATCACGCAGAACCATGCGAGACCATGCGGAACCATGCAGAGTCATGCCAAGAAGATCGACGAGTGAGCTGAGCGTCTTGATGGGGCATGTGATTTGACCTCACCGATTGACGATAATCTGACCGCTTCACCATAGCCGAAAAGCGACCTTTCCAAACACGCTACCAGGGTCCAGGGTCCAAGGTCCAGGCTTATCGGAACGCCACCAACAAGACATCCAGAAAGCCGAGCCTGCCGGCCACCTCTCTGCCTCCCTGCCTGGCCTTGCTGCCTTGCAACCTGGAGCGTGGAATCCAGTACCCCGTCCGGTCCCTTCTGCGATACAACACAGCATCCTCGTGGCCCGCGCCTCGCTACCATTTCGTCCATTCCAAGATTGAGGTCGGAGTCGAGTGTTGTTGATGTTGATGTGATGTCCCCCGTACCGCCGTTGCCTCGTCGAATGCCCATTACTCGATACTGAGCTGCTGCAGTACCTCTGCGCCCACATCCTGAAGCTTTGCCGTCTCTATGGCGCTGTCCCTTGCGAACGGTTACCTACGGCTACTGGTTTTGGCTTATACATCGTCTGCCTCCAGAGCCCAGGGTTTCCATATCTTCGCAATTGAGCTCGAAGCCGTTGTCCCGGAACCTCAGCCAGTGACAACCTTTGACCCTCTCCATCGAAAGGACTTTCTTCTTCGCCTTACAAGCTCTGGATTCAACATACTGCCACTGTTTCACGTCGACGACGGCTTCTTACGAACAGATGTGCTAGATCAATACTGGTGCGCATCAGCAGAGGACTGTACATATACACTTGACGATCCGGTAGATGGGCGGAGGGTGAGGTTTTCCTCTTCCCCAACCCCGTCTTCGCGCATCCGGATCGAAGATGGTTCACTTCTCTCGGTCGACGCGCGAATGGACTGGGCAGTGTGCGAGGATGAGCTAGGATACATGACCGTTGTGCATTGTTATCTCGATGTTGTGGGCTTATACTAACATGTCTACAGGTATCATGGAACAATCAATCTTGCCAGCAGGTCCACCTGCGAGCCTTTGCCTCCGCATCGCTAGGGAGTATTGGCTAGTAGCAGGAGGAATTCATTTGACGGGCTGCTGCTGCTGGCAATCGGTTACGCCCGATCCTCCGTTAGAAACATGATGTTTCTCTAGATGCCCTTCTCGGTCTCGTTAAAAAAATGCAAGTACTCTGTCTATAGCCTAAGCCTCCCTCGCTTAGCCTTCAGTCTTTGTTTAAACGTCTCCTCCATAACCCATCACTGCTACCTTGCTCGCAAAACTGTCAACTTTACACGTGTGCCAAGCTTTACATTTTTGAGATCTCGGTTCTCGCCCTCCTACTTCCCAGAATCCAGAAGTTTGGATCTTGGTACGTAGCAGCACCGCTTGGAACACACGATATAAAGATGATAATCTTACCAACTTACTGGAGGAATTGCGATCGTCATCGGCTTGAACACATTGACGCTTTTTACGACTTTATCAGATCACGAAGGTCCGTCGCAAGCAAGAAAAACAACGGCTACGAGCAGCGGCAGCTATGCCTATGTCCGTCTATGTCATCAGCATTGGCTACTCACCGCAACGCCGCTGGATGAAGAGGATGTGCAGCCGTCTTCCAAAGTTCACAACACGGCATCTCTGTTCCGAGTCTATCTATACGCTCCACCCACATCAGCATATACGACTGTCGGCCCCGAATCTGCAACTGCCTTCGTACGACACTCTCCTACCTCCGGCATACGAAGATGAGCTGTGGGCGTCTACAGTGACCGAATATGTAAACGAGTTTAGGATTGGGGGAATGAAGGAGGCTAAGCTTGGAGCAGAGGAACGACATGGGGAAGCAGAGTATGCCGAAACCACCCCGAAGGACCCCAGGGATAGCTCTAGGAATGGGATGCTTTCTGGGCCGGATAATAGCTTGCACGAGCTGGAGTAGAGAATCCTCGCGGTTTGGAGAGACGGTCGTGGGCTTCTGACTAGAGGTGTTTCTGGGTGCTTGTATAGCAATCGTGTAATTTCCATTGGAGTCTACAGCACCATGTACTGCTTAGGTGGGAGTTTCAGTGTTATATATCCATCCAAGTCTACCACAGATTATCTTTTGAGACACCCTCGAGTTTCTTTATTTACCTCGTGCTGGGCGGCTCTCTGGACCGCACGGTCCGTCTTGTAAGCTTAGATAAGCCCACTAACGGAGGCAGAACAAGCTGTTACTGTCTTGACTGTCACGCCCGACAACTGAATCTGTATCTTTCGGTAAGAGCTGTTGCGTATGAATGACAAGGCCGTCTCGCCATTTGTGTGGCTGCTTCGTCAAATGCAGAGACTAGCCAGCTTCTATCATCGCAATGAACTCCAAGAAGCCTTCACATGAGGAGCACCACGGACTCAAACTCAGCCTTGACTACCCGATCGTCGAGCAAGCTCTATGTCACTTTTCAAAGTCGAAGAATATAGTAACCAGTCTTTTCAGCAACACAGAGCTTGATCACCACTTCGAGGCTGGAGGAGTCAAGCGGACGAGGATCAACGACATCTGGTGCAGACTGTCCTTGACGACGACTTGGACCAGACCTATCAGCAATTCACCGCTCCGAGCACTCATGCACATGCATTGCCGCAAAGCTGAAAGTGATGCGACCAATGTGGCTGCATACCTACTTGCAGCAGTGCGGTGCCCTTGTCACTCGGCGTGATGATCGATAATCGCCTTTGCGCTCTACATAGAGTTCGTCCGTGGCCCGTATCGGTTCAAGCAGTCTTGACATGCTGGAAATTGAATTACACAATGCCTAAGCTGTCCCAGATCACACATCTGGGCCCCTGTTCCAGCGTGTTCCTTGTACCAAAAGACGTGGTCTCCTTACTGCTTGAAGGACCTTCAAATTTTGGCTGGGTCAAAGCCTATCTCGACGAAGACGGTCTCGTGGTTTTGATCACGTCGCATCATGGCACGATCCTGGCACACCTACATATACAGGGTCGAGGAGACTGGTGCGATACCAGAAGGCTGCACAAGGCGATGGACATGGTGACCAGGCTCTTGCAAAAACACCAGGGCTACTTTCAACGGGACCGCAGCACCTACATTTTCTACCGAGGGAGTGCGCAGTCACACTTGGCCTCTGCACATATCGAGCGGAAACTCTTCGACCACGACTTTCCGCTCGCATCAATAACACTCGTCAATCCTACGGAAGGGTCCAGGCACTCACCAGTGGTCTACATTGCTTATCGAGCTACTCAGGGATTACCTAGAGTGTCCCGTGGGCCTTCTGATCTGGATCTCCAGGACGTCACGCAAAGAACGAAGCATGCGGAAGTTTGGGTGATATCGATTGGAGCCAAAGATGAGGGGCATGTGTATAGGAAGATGTTGATACAAGCAGCTGCGCACTCGTGGATCCCATACGAAATAGAGCTGAAGCGAGAACCCCTGCCCCCTGTTGGGATCCGGATACAGCTTCGATACCACGGTATACCGCAAGGATGGGTGATCTTCCAGCAGCGACCAGAAGTGAGGGATCCGACTCCGCAACCCTCATTTTCGCGATGGCAGCCGGTGCCTCTACGTACTAGGTGCACGACGATTGGAGACCAGCAATTGGGTCTATGGGTGCCAAAACGCCACAACGTCGTGTTCGACGATGACGAGGACATACGGTGGTTTGAAACCGGTAGCGACGGGAACGAGAGGGTGTTCATGATTGATCTGTAGCACTTCTTTGTTGCGACGTAGGACTGTGGTCGGATCGGGGAGTAGGCAGGGAGGAGGAATGCACGAATTGTTTTTGTTAATGTTGCCAAAACAGGCATTGGATGACACAACCTGACCTTCCCAGACGTATCCCGAACTGGGGCAGTTTCTCAGCTGCTCCACAAAGAATATAACCGCGTTGCACGGGAGTTCGTTTCGGTGCCGCTCTCATACATTCATGCACCGTGCGACGGTCTAAATTAAACCAGTTCAATGCCCCTGCGCTGAGCCTCCGAGGGGCGTGTCCTGGAGGGTTCCTTTCTCCTACCCGTATGCCAGCACATGCTTTCAGTCCCGTCTACGCACTGTGTGCCGGCACCATCGACAAAACTACAACCAACGATCTGTTTTCTATCAACTGGCCGACATGGAGACCGATACCAACGTGCATGAACTTGGAATCGTTAAAGAGCAGCATCACATCGTGTCGATCGTCTTCGAGAGCTATTCCGACGAGACCAGTGGACGACAATATGGTACTGTCCATGTACAGCATGGAGAGGTCATATTCGCGGTTTTTGTGCTTACCTTACGCGGCATGATCTCCATCAAGTTCACGTCCCATCATCAAATGGAACCGGCCTTCGGATACATTCAGTGGCTTCTCACCTATTACTCAGACAAGTTCAGGTGGCACTGCAGCACATACATCCTCTGCCCACATGCTGGGGAGAGTTGGGTGTACGAAGACTTGTCATCAACAATCGACATGCGACTGCTCGCGCTTGGCCTCCCGAGGGCACAGCGCACAACATTCAAGGGGGAAAGACAAGGCGAGGTCTCGATTGCATACGCAACTTTTCGAACCTCACTTGGCCACACACCCTCACTCTTCCACGGCACTGTTGGCGGACCCGTATACGACGTCTCTCAACGAACGTGGAGTGCATTCCCATGGGTCCAGCTGGATGGGCGTGTCGTCCGTTTGGCTATGCAGTGGTCAGAAGCCGAAGAGGAGATGCGGGAAGAGATCATTATACCGCGAACACCACCCAGGGACGAATGGATACATGTCCGTCAATATGGACTTTCGGCTGGGTGGGTGAAAGTTGATAATGTCGGTTCTGTGGTACAGCGCGTCCAGCATAGAGATCTCTGCTGGACTTGCCGTTGACCGCCATGAACAAGAAGATGGAAGTGGAAGGACTGTTCATTTCGGATGACTCGTATGTCGCAATACGTTGCTACTTGACCAATCATCCATAGCGTATGCTGTTATAGCCTCGTCGTTCCTTTTGCGCACTATTACCGTGCGCTCTGTTTCAGTATTGTTCTTCCTCGCAGAACCCCAGATGTCCTCCATCTCCCAACGAAGACGTGTACTCTGATGAAGGCTGCCGCATAGGAAGTCGACTACCAGACCCAACCATATGAGACCTACACCACGCCGAGCGCAGTGCTCTTTGTCACACATTGTTGGGCGATTGAACTCTGCTTCTGGGGTTACAAGCCCGATCCAATCGGCGGTGCGGTGGCAGGCCTTGTAGAATTTGATGGAGAAAGCCATGGCATAAGTGAGCCTAATCTCAGGGCGAAGCCATGCCACTAGACATTGTCAATGTCGACTCCAAATAATACACACATGATCACGTACGACATCCCTTGGCGTCACTAGCAGTGATGTTCTCCCAGGCAGCCTCTTGACGTGCCACAGACTTGCAGTGTAGATATTGCTTGCCTGAGTTCTCATTAGTCAAGCACCTGAAATCATCATAAGAGGTGATACAGCAACGATGTACTGCCAGAATGCAGCTGCAGTTCGTCGATCGGTATTTGTCGATGATACACATTGTTGCGAAATAGAAGTACGACAAAGCCCACAGAGCTTATAAACGATGAGTGAGGAGGGAAATGGCTATTGGTGAAGTAAGTAGTTGCAGGTTATTGTGGGGTTGCGATTTGCTCATGCAGTACGCAGGAAGAGAACAGGTACTTGAAGTGGTTGATGGTGGCGTATAGCCACGAACCAGGATTGGGGTTCGAACTAAAATGGAAGCCAAACCTTAGCCTTTCTGCCTTCTGCGTCTAATAATGCCAAAAGCTATCTATTGAACAAGTCCATCCAACCGAAAGGACACCCTCGATATCGTTTCTGTCGATCCAATCCCTGCTGCATTTGGGCTGTGCCCATTACCAATTGCAGATCGTCTCGCAATTCCTGCAGCTTATGAAGTGGACGACACCAGGCGTCCTCTCCCTCTTCCTTACCCTCCATTCCCCATGGCGGCGGCTCGTCGTCAGAATGGATGAGTAGTTCCTCCTCCACTTCCACGCGTCGCAATAGGTCGTCGTATGAGTCGGCCAGCAGCTGCGCCCCTGCATCACTGCACAACAGATTCTTCACACCGATTGGTTTTCGCGTCATAATGCCCTTGAGAACCAGATCGCCCCCATGAAGCTTCAATGACAGATTCCGCTTCGTAGGTTTTGCAAAAGTTCTCAGTCGGCCACTCTCATTGAGCGCGCAACGGAGTTGCTCCACAGTGACCTGGCAGTAATCTGCCAACATGATCTGTCCATACCTGCATAGCAGGATTTCTTTGAACGTTGACTGCTCACCGTGGGACATCACAAAGTCCACAGAGAACTCGCCATTGCCAGTGCGAACGTGACCTAATATCTGGAGTCGCGCAGACTTTTTCCTTGCAGGGGCAGGGCCCACGTCGTACGGTATCTTAGGCTGGTCGAGGATGTTGCGCAGAATCGTGGTCGTCGATTGGTGTTGAGTATTCTCCGTCAAGACACGCTTGTTCTCTTCGGCGAGATCGATCTTGAACGGCAGGCCTGTCAAAGTCTTGAATTGTTAATAGCCGCAGCACAACGATTTGGCAGCCTTGTGCTTACCTGGGTTGAGGCCTGCTTCAACATCGTGCGCTTATAGGAATCGAAGGAGGTAAGTTGGTCTCTGATGGGCCATATATAGAGGCACTCGGCGTCATATTACGCTGCTGTGCTGGTGCACCAACAACGTTGCTGTCGCTCGAAGTTGCAATATCGGTTCAATCGTGGTCATCAACATTGATCGGCATGCCAGCTAAGTCTGTTTGACCCCAAGCAGGAGCAACTTCGGTACCCAGATGTTGACGATCCACATGCGTCTGCGTGCTTGGTGGCGTATGGGAAATACTATGATCATTGCTTTGTAGAATACGTTGAGCCATCTACGATGACCTGCAGCAGGCCTGCAGGTTGACTCCGACTCTACGCGTAGCGTGGTTGACAAAATGTCAACCTCGCCGAGCCAATTTCGTCGTACCAGCATGCCTGCAGATTGGTCGACAAAATGTCAGCCTCGCCGAGCTAATCGATGATCAGATTCGTCGCATCAGCATGCCTGCAGATTAGTTGACATTTTGTCAACCTCGCTGAGTCGATCGATGATCAGAGTCGTCGTACCAGCATGCCTGCAGGCTGACTTCGACTCTACGCGCAGTATAGTTGACAACATATCAGCCTCGCCAAGCCAATCGATAGCCCGAGCAGATTGGTGGGGTTGACAAAATGTCAACCGGCTGAGCATCAAGCTCCACTATAGCTTGTCTATTGGGTGACCGGTCCTACCCCCAGTCCCAATGATCTATGAATCCCTCGAGTGTGCCATGCCGAGCTCCGTGCTTTGCAAAGTGGCTTGCAGGTTGAGACAGTATCGTTGGTCGCCATCAATCGGACGGGCGGGACAACTCGCCGACATGGAGGATCGACCAGCATATTAACACGGGGCGTGCCGTGTCGCAGTTGACAAAGGGGTGTGCACTTTGCATGCGGCGCAGATCGTTGTTGTGACTTCTTGCCGCCGACTCGGGTGCATGACGCGCCCTGTGAGGAAGACGGCCCGCATGATGCAGCGCTAAGCAGCTGGCATCGTGACCTGTGCAGCTTACCAGCTCCAGCCGCTTTCGTTGTCGAGCCTTGTTTCCACTCTTCACACCGCAACTTGGCAACCTTGCCTTCACCGGTGGGAATGCAACAAAGCCATGCAAGCAGCACACGGGCCGAACGCATTGACAAAATCCTCCAAGCAATCTCATTGGGACCACAGAGAGCTGGGCAGGGCTGACTTCGATGTCACCCTGAATTGTCGAATAGCTGTGAACGTGGCCCAAGAAGTATACAACCCCGAGCAGCTGGAGTCATTTGTCCTTGCAAACACCAGATTGGCGGTAGAGGACGCTTTGGAGACGACCTTCTTCGAGTCATCCATCCTTGCAGTGACGGCAGGTACGCGTCGTCAAGCTCCCCATGCCATCCTCCAGCAGCCAGGAAAGGTTCCACAGCCACCTCTGGAACAGAACATACTAGCCTCACCAAGAGTGCTGCAGAGTTCATTGCCTCCATCTTCCGCCCTTCAGAACAAGAGCAAGAAAAGAACGGGAGAGCGTCTCGTGAAGCAGCCTCCGCGCAAACGAACACAGCGCAATCAGCCAGCAGTGGAATACTCCGAGAATGCCGCACGCTCGATGTGTAGACCAGACGGCACATGCAGCGCCAAGCCAGAGCCACCAGTGGACGGACAACAGCTTCGGCGGGAATCCAAGGTAGTAAGTCTCATCGCGGCAGGAGTACAAAAACTTCTGAACGACGACACTGCCTGGCAAGCCTGGGAATGCGACCTCGAATCCATCAAGCCTAGTCCTCAGACTGGATATACTGCTGCCCATTTCTCACAGTATGGGGCTGTCCTGAGGCAACGGTCATGGCTGTCGCACTTCCTGGCGATTTGTGCTGCTGAGTTAGGAGAAAATTCCGAGGACAGACAACAGAGCATCGAGCTGGAAGGCCCGAGCAACATGCGTATTGGAAAGTTCGGCAGGCATCACCGGCGCAAGCTAGTGGGCTTCGTGCTAAGCATTATCAACATGCTTTCGTTCGAAGTGGGACCATCAGCTTACCACGTTCTCTCGGCACTTTCTGGTCAGTAAGTCTCCGCTCGCTAGGGGTGAACACTGCTAATGTTGTAGTAGTGGCGAACCGTCCGTTGAAGGATGGCGTGTCACGCAGCATGAACTGGGACGGCGTAGTTGAAAGTGCAGGCAGGATTGCTCGTCAGCTAGCCGAATTGCCAGACTGGAGCAAGCTACCAATCGATGCAGTACTGGATCCATCCACCTTGTTCTGTTCTGGGGACAGCAAGTGAGTCTATCGATGCTTGGTAAACACTCCTCCGCTAACGCTCGTCAGGTTCGGGGCCATGTCAAGAACGTTGGACTGGAGGATCGATCAAGAAAGAGAGCGTCAGATTACAAGTTCAGCCCGGGACCACGATCCAACCGGGGATTTGTCGCAGCCTGCTCATTCTTTGCCGCAGGACGAAACGCTCGAAGCCGCGCCTACGCACGCTCAACAGTCTGCGTGCTGTCAAAATCAGCTCACGCAGCCAGAAGAGAGCGCGCACATCTTTGGGGCATTCACATGGGGAACACCGGGAGCACCGATCGACTTCAACGCTGGCTTCAGATTCGTCCTCGAAGACACCTTCAATGACTTCAGCGATATACAATGATACAGCTGATGCCACCCTCGCCGGAGCTGTTCCGACCTTGTGTGCTTCCGGTCCATACTACGACGTCGCCGGCGCGGAGGGTGGGAACACGCGTCTCTTCCTTTGTGTCATCCTCGGTATGACAGCCATGCAAAGCAGACATCCCTGTCGACTCCGAGAGCTCCGTCAATGCAACAGTAACATATATATCTCCTTCTCTTCCGAGCATTTGTGTCGCTGGCCTTTCGAGCCTCGTGAACTTGCAAATACTGACAGACGCTGGATGGAGTTCAGATCTGAGAACTCGAAGTCTATCGCGGTGGTTCTGCGTATGTTAGACAATGCGGCGTGCAGGAGAAGCTGTGCCGAACGGACCTCGTGTATGTATTTTGCAATTCTGATAGTTGTAGGAGTTGGCCGGTATTCGAGGTAGCCAGTCTTCTGCTCGTCATGCGTTGCCCCAAGTAATTCCTCGACCGCCGTGTGACACAGATCTTGCGGGACAGCATCGACGATGATGAACCAATTGTGTCCTCCCAACATCGTGCTAAGTAGGCATAAACTACTCTTACTTCTGCGCGAACGGCCAAGGGCTTTTACGTACGCCAAGCTTTGCTTGGACCAACTTCATGCAAGCAAGAGATTTGAAGAGCTACATGTACCTCCCACCCATTAGCACGTGACCCTCTCCCCATGAGCCACGTCGACTGCTATTGTTAGTACGGCTGCTGATCAGTCGCGCCTATTACTTGGCAGTGGGGTGGAGGCTTTGCGAACTTTTATTTCCAGCGCCAGAGCCGCTACAGAACTAGTGTTGATCAACGTGCAAGTCAGAAACCTGGCGTTCTTGATTGCAACGCCTCTTACCGAGCTTGTAATCGCGTTTCGCAATTCTGGAGGCGCTCGATACGCTTTGAGTCCGTTCTTGCGCCTTGTGTCCGTCGAAGTGACGCACATTCGGCGTCGCGGCAAAAGTGGCAGTATAATACCGCGTTACAAAACCATCTCCGGTCTTGCACAGCCTAGAGATGGGAGGGATTTGTCCCACCCGCCACGAGTGCCGAGGGACGGCGCAGGTGCACAGGAGGTCGAATTCTGGCTGGAAGAATCCAAATCTGCCTCTGAGGGAAGCTCGAAAAAGGGGAAAAACAGATCAGAAGCAAAGGAAGGCCGTTACATCAGTGTATCTGAGTTCTTCCGCACTAGTAAGTGCCACATCATCAATTGGGAATGCGCTGACAGGTTCAGAGCACAATACTACCATCGCAGACCCATCGTTACCGGTTGTAAACGTCGGGACGGAAGCGAGCCCATCTTACCTGCCATTACAAGTGTGCAATGTCCGGCAAGGACAAGTAGCGAGAGGTCAGATCGGCCCTCACCAGACAGCAGAAATGATCAAGTTCGCCGTACGTTCGCCATCTGCGAATGCGAACTCTATCACGACTGTTGGATTGAGTCTGTTGCGACTGGAGAGAAGTGACATGGTAGGCTGGCACTTCGCTCAAATCTGCAATGCTGATCGTGATGATAGTCTGCGTTCGATTTGACAGTCCAACCACATTTGCTCACCGTACTAGGACGTCGACTGCCTTCTCCTCAAGTACATTTTGCGCGCAAGACAGTGTCTGTGGTGAATGCTCGCTGGGATCTGAGGGACAAAACTCTGCTGAAAGCAGCAGCGATGTCCAGCTGGAGATGCTTGTACATCACAGCCGGACAACAAGTGTGGTCAAATCCAGCAGACCTACAAACTTGTCTCAGCGCCTTTGTCAGTGGTCTTCGGGGCATCGGACTTCAGTGGGCAGCAGCTCCTCCACCCGAACTGCTACGTGTCGAGGCAAGCAATCCGTCTGCAGCGATCTCGCAGAAGCTTCACGAACTGGCTATGAAGAAACCAAGCATGCTACTGGTCATCATTCCGGCGTACAACAACATCAGCATCTACAACGCAGTCAAGTACAGCTGTGATATTCAGGAAGGTGTGCTCTGTCAATGCGTTGTCGACAGCAAGTTCGCGAAGCAGCAGATCCAGTACTACGTCAACGTGGGCCTGAACATGAATCTGAAGCTGGGTGGAGTCAACCGTTCCATTCCCGACAGCAACTCTGGCACCATATCGCCCGAGAAGACGATGTTCGTGGGACTGGATGTCACCCATCCTTCTCCTGGTTCCACCTCTTCTGCGCCAAGCGTTGCCAGTATTGTTTCTTCCATCGATCGAACACTCGGACAGTGGCCGGCTGCGATTCGTGTCCAAGAAGCCAGAAAAGAGATGATAACTGATTTGACCGAGCTATTCCAAGGACAATTGAAATTGTGGCGGCGGAAAACCAGAATCTTGCCCGCCAACCTCATCGTTTTTTCGCGCTTTTGAAACATCTGTTGCGACCGTCCCAGTGAATAACACGATTGACATAGACCACTACCGACCACCCTGACGTCAACTCAGCCATCTGCAAGCGCGAACTTCATACCTTTTTGCACAGCTTCGACATATCTGGTTATATCCCATCCATAGAACTCATGGAGCCAGCTCGTGAGGCATTCAAACGCTGGCGGAACTATGCAGCCTTCCAGTGTGAGAAGCTTTTTTCCACATCCATACACATGCATGGAAGAGGTACAGTTCTGTTCCACCTGCCGGCCCGGAACTCATCGGAGGTGCTAAATTCGACCGGAAGCTATGGCACCCCTTCTGGCAAAGCGCGTTGCACACCACCTAACATACAGTCATTCTGGACACACCAAATCCTTCATTATCAGGACCCCTTCTAAGCTCTGGGAATAAGAAGCTCACATCTATCATAAGTATCGGTACTCTAGTGCAGCGGAATAAGGCCATATCAATCTCCATCATGGATCTTCTGGAGATTTATGCAGTCGGCCTTCTGTCTATCGTGGGCTTAGTTTTCGCTGTGCATTTAGTCAGGAAATTACTGACTTACGAAAGGCGGCATGGATGGATGAGGAGACACGTAACAATGCCGCGCATTTTCGCTAACCGGGCTCTAGAGACTCCGACTCGAGCTGAAGCGATGTGTTATGTCCTTCATTGGGCGGCAGCTGCATTTTACAATGCATACTCTGTGGACACGATCGCAGATCTCGCATTGCGCGCAGGGCAGTTGTGCATACTTCACCTGGTTCCGCTGTTAGCCTTGCCTCAAATTGGGTTTCTCGCAGATGCAACCGGACTCTCGCGAACTACCATGGTACATATCCACACTGCACTCGGATTGATGAGCCTCGTGCAAGGATTACTACACGGTATATTACACTTGTTGTACGAACGACAAGGTGGAACCCTCGAGCTCGTTGTAAGTTGCGCATGACTTTGCACACAGCGGTCTACTGACTGATTTCTTCCTCTTAGATGCTATCCTTTCTCGTCGGCTCGAGCTCTGTTGCCACTGTCAAACATTATCTATACGAGACTTTCATCTTCGCGCACCGCGCTCTCGCAATAGCCCTTGCTATCACTCTTTGGATTCACCTCAGCGGTAGGAGTACGTTTGAGCGCACACTCGTCCTGACCGCGTTCATAACGTCTCTCGGGGCAAACGCTCTCCACTGGCTACGGCAGGTATGGTGGAACCTACGGAGAAGAGACCTCAGTATGCCGCGCATCACAAGCGCTCGTTACGATGCGAATGAAGACGTAGTATTGGATATTTCGCTACCCAAGGACCGTATCGTCCATCCCGGACAATACGTCTATCTTACTCTCCTAGATCCTCGGCGGCTATCACTGCTCCAGCGGCATCCTTTTGTGATACCGTGGTGGGATTCTAGAGACGATATTCTTACAGCACGGTCTCTGTCTATATTCATACATCCACAGAACGGATGGACAAGGTCATTATCACAACAGGCCCTCTCCATTTCCATACGCTCCAAGGAGGGCGAAACAGAGGAGGGAGGCGATCGTCGTCCGCGAGCGCTTCAAGACGTGGCTGCTTTGACGCCTTCCAAGCCACGGATATGGCTCGATGGACCTTTCGGAAAAGAATACAAATTGGAAGGATTCGACACTATAATCCTGTTTGCCTCCGGCACAGGCATTTTCTCGCTGCTACCGTTCATCAAAGTCCTCACGCACCAAGTCATGAGGCCAAAGCTCTGCCTCGTGTGGAAGACGGGCCAGAACTATGCCTTTGTCAACGACTGTTTACAACCCATACTATCCGAAGATCTCGTTTCGCAAGAATCGCCGACAGCAATGCACATGGCCTGGTACCTTACGCCAGAACTATACAAGAATTTGGAAAGGGAGAAGTCTCCTCTGGCGGGCGGCAGAAGGGTGAAAATATCAATGGAGGTTTTGGAAATAGACGATCATCTCCCATCTAGGGAGAACGAGCATCACAGGAATATTGGCATATTTGGTAAACTCCAGCCGTTCCGTGAATCTGCTCTGCTAACGGGTCCCAGTGTCTGGCGACCAAAGGTTACGGCATGAATTGCGTAGAGCAGTCCTGCGAAAAGAAGATCCACGGATGCACCTCGAAGAGCTCGAGTACCAGCCGTCGACGAAACACGACCAAGTTGTACGCTAGAGCACACCACCTTCATACTTGCTCGTGACCTTCTCTAGCTTCACGTTGCCGACTACCTCAGCGAGACATTTCCGATCATGAGTTTGAAAAGTCGAATGCTAGACACGATTAGCCTGTACAAAGCGGGCTACTGAGGCTCCTCTCCTCGTACCTGTAGTGCATGCCCAAGGTATCCAGCCACGCAAAGCGCTGAGATGTCATCCCACGGAGCTTGCAAGGTCTGTTCTTTGGTGGTACACACCAGCACTCTCACAAGACGAGAAAGATCCTCTAAATCTTGACGCAGCTCAAACTTAGATGGGGCAAACATCGAGCGTCCTATGTTTGCTATTTTCTATTAGTGGCCCGGTTACGGAGTGGGCGGCGGACACACCAATCTTTACGTCACCCTCGAAGCTCATCATGATATTCTCCGGAGTAATTGCCCCATGAACGATATTGCAATGGTGCATATACTGGGCGCCGCGAAAAATCTGTTTCTGTATTTAGACTGGCCTTCAGACCGCGAGGTGGCTCTCGTACCTGGGAAATAGTGGTGGCAATCAGTACGTCCCTCTCCGAAGGTCCATTCAGCGTCCAAGGGTCTTGCGCAACAGACAACAATTCAGAGAGACACAATTGTAATCGCTCGTAGACAAATGATGTCCCCTCTTCGTGCCGAAAGATACCATGTAGGCGTACGATATTGTTATGACACGGTCGGAACGACATGTCCATTGATCCAGGAAGCATGAAGCTCTCTCGCCTGATCACAAACTCCGCACTCCGTCCTTGCAATGTACCGATCCCGGCGTATTTGTCGCCGGCATCAGTATGTGACTGGTCATCTGCATAATCAGACCCTTGGTTTATCGCGCGCTCTCGGATGTGGTAGCGTTCAGACGCGTAACCTCGAACGACTAGCAGAGAAGTTTGCATCGTCAGGTGCGTCGGAATCTGAACGCCGGGTACGTGTCGCTTCTTTCTTCGACTTCGGTCAGATGTGTCGGAGACAGTCAGTCTTACAGGTAATGAGAGCGAGTGCATTGTGGACGCAAAGCGCGGAACAGTGAAGTAGACAAGCTGGACTATCGAGATATATAACAACCATCAGCACGACTCAACAGCTTTTTGGACACCCCCTTGCCGTGAAGGCCTTGCTAAGGACCCTTAGATGTTAGCAAAGCAAGCGGAAAGTGTGTTCCATTATCAGTGAGCGCGATCCAGCAGGCTTCAGTACTTATGGGAGGAGAGTACAAAGCCTTATCGGGGCTCTTGCTGACTAGGGTCAAGAAATTCCCGTTCTGGACCACAGTCCGGAGGATGCGACGGAAGGGGTTCCCCTCGCCACGCTTCCATAGCCACAGACGAGCGACAGTGCCGTGTTCATCGCTGCTCTTGTCGCATTCTCGCGGATGCAGGTCCTCTATGTCTAAGAAGCTGGCGATATAGATGTTCCCGTCGCCTTCTCTATCTGGCCTCTCCTCCCAGAATCGGAGCAGTCTCGCATGATCATACATCGGTCGTTCTATGCGGCCTTCGCGAATGTTTGATAGGTCCGGAAGCACTGTCTCACGCCGTGCGGCATCGCCAATCATTGGATTGGCTTCAATGCAGTCTTGTCGGACTCGCTCGGCCACCTTTTGGTGTGGTCGCTCATTCAACCGCTCCTCGGGCCTACTAGAGCCGCCTTGCACGCCTCTCCTCCTTATATCATGTTTAGCTTTTCTCGATTTTTCGACTCTACCACTTTTCCCTTGTCGATCCCCTGGGCGCACATGCGCGACAGTGGAAGAGCTAATAGGTTCAGGAAGCATTGTGCGGCGCCGTTCTGCACCAGTACAAGTGGTTGACTCGAAATGGTTTGCCTCTAGTGCATTGATCTCCTTGTTCCTCGGAAGGACGTGAGTGATCGCGGAAGAGCCAGGAAGAATTGTCCAGCGCCGATTTGTGATCTTGTGAATGGAGCGTGCGGGCTGAGTCTCTCCCTGTTCAGTCTGCCCTTGAATCACTTCTCTCTGAACCAGACGACCGTTCCTTATATCTCCGACCATGTTGTGGTCATCATCGTCATCACGGACGCCGCTATCAACTTCCCCGACGGCACACGTGTCATCGGGCTGGTTGACTTCTTCGCCCAAACTGTCCGCTGTGTCGGTATACGCTTCATCCGAGAGATGCGTTCTTACGGTTTCAGCTAACTCTACATTCGCATCTGAATGCACTTGTCCTCGAAGATGCCCTGCTGGCCGTCCTCGCTGAGGTCCTCGCGACCGTTGAGATTGTACTACTGGCTTTCGGGCTGCGGCGTTATCGAGGCTCCTCCGGGCAGTGCGACCATTGGGTACCGACTTCATCCTTCGAGTCTTACTCGTTCCGAGCTTGCAAGAGAGAGCGCTCACGAGCTCTGAACCCCAAAAACAATAACACATATCTCTTGCTATTGCAGTCGGCGTAAGATATTGCTTCGGACACACGGCTGGCGCGGTCATGACCACAGGGTACAGAGCTTCTCGAACTTCCATATAACTTGTCTGGCAGGGCCGGTTGGAACGGGCATGCTCGCATACCTCTGACCCTCCAGCCTCGATGTCCTCCACAGCTTCCGGGTTACATTTAAGAGTGGCACGATCCGGAGCAGCTGCCGAAAGTGCAGCAACCTCATCTGTCTTGATTCCCATGCCATTGGCGAGTCTAGCCATGTGTGCCTGCTTTATCGAGTCGATGCAGCTCGGCCTGAAGCCGCAGGCATTTCCGGGACAGCGGCGTAGCTGACTGGATTTTCCATGAGAAAGGTAGGGGAATTCGCGCATCGCGAATATACACATTTCGATATAGCACGCAGTCTTCTCATCATCAGTGCGGAGAACTGAATACTGTGCAAAGCATTCACGCAGTCGCTTCAAGCGCTTCTGTGGCGGGAACAGGGGACGGAGACCATCGAAGCACACTTTGAGATATATCATATCGTCGAAGAAAGACTGTATGGTTATAATTCGGTCGCATTTGGTGAGACGGCGCTTTAGCCGTTGGCGCGTCTCCTCTCCAGTTACAGTGGGGAAAATCCTGCGCTGGTCTAACAAGTGCGACACATGTCTGGCATCCCGCAACGATCGATTCGGTGCTCGAAGCTGGAGGAGCTTCACAGTCTGATTGTCGAGCTGGTCAGGGTGTACGTCAGGATCCATGATTGTACGCCAAATCTTACCCAGACGTTCGAGGTATGATTGGATTTCCTACGAACCCATAAGACACGTCATGGAAAGGAGTCGGAATCAAGACGTACCTCATAGCAATGCATACCAAATATTGGCGCAAGGCGGCCGAAAGCAAACCCTGCCTGTAGACCAGGTACTGATAGGGTATCTGCAAGTAGTTCGAGCAATCTGCCACCCTGGTAGCCCAGGAGACGACCTGCCACCTCTGCTCTCCACCGGTCGAGCTCACTCAGGATCGTTCTGATCGCGTCAAGCTGGCTTTGTCTTTTGCAAGTTGCCAAAAGGATCAGGATTTCTGCATCGTTTGGTGGGGAACTTGGAGTATCGCTCGTGTATAAACGTTTTTGGAGCATCAGTGGTAGTTCTGGAAGCAATCAGTATGCGTACACAGGATACAGAGTAGTCCGCATAGATACTTGATTCATATAATTCAACCACAGTTCGTGTGCTGTCCATACCAGCCTCTGCCTCAATGGAGTAATCAGGCTTCTCTACAAGACAACAAACTTTGTCCCCGATATTCAGCCACGGAGCATCTTCTGGAGGTCTGCGGAGTATCGAGGTCGCAAAGCCAGCATCGCGCAAAGCTTGTCGCAGGATAGCATCATCAATGATGGCTTTGACGGTGTGGTTTTCTGGTGGTACGATTCGAAGGTCAATGCGAGCGTGCCCTAAGAACCATGGTGCGAGAAGTTTGTCGAACATTATATTTGTTACCAGTGAACTCCTGATGTCTGTGCTACTTCAATGGGTGGCAATGTTCCGTGGTGCTTGATAACTGGACTTCCAATCACTGGAACATCCCCTGCCGTCACTCCGTTTTGCCCCCGTCGACAGTTTGCCCCCGTCGACAGTTTCCCCCCGTCGACAGTTTGCGTCCGTCGACAGTTTGCGTCCGTCGACAGTTTCCCCCCGTCGACAGTTTCCCCCCGTCGACAGTTTCCCCCCGTCGACAGTTTCCCCCCGTCGACAGTTTGCGTCCGTCGACAGTTTCCCCCCGTCGACAGTTTGCGTCCGTCGACAGTTCCCGTTTGCCCCCGTCGACAGTTCACTCCCGTCGACAGTTCACTATCGTCGACAGTTTGCCCCCGTCGACAGTTTGCCCCCGTCGACAGTTTGCCCCCGTCGACAGTTCACTCCCGTCGACAGTTTCGTTATTCTACTAATATAAACACCGTGCTCAGAAAGTCAAGGGGACGTCGAGGAAAGCACCCCCGACAGTCCCTGCCATGGATAAGACAAGACAAAAGGCCAGCCATCGCCTTTGTAGCAGTGTCTGTGTCTGCCAACGCGTCCCTCCCCCAATCCAAGACATTCACGACCGAATAGCCAGCATTGCGCCGCACGATGGGAATCCACGGCCAGCTTAGCGTATCCAATGACTCGAAATACATGTTTACCTTGAACAAGAATCCGGATGTCGGACCTGCGGACGTGTTAACAATTTGGTCCGACCCAATGTCAGAGGAACCCAAAAAAGAGGCCAATTTTCCGGAGGTGATCAGCGCCGGCTGGGGCCCCGACCAAGATCTATACGTGTCTTTCACAGACTGCCGGCTGGAAAGATATGTGTGTAAGGACGGGATGCAGCTCACAGATGAGGCACAACTTTCCTCTCATGTGAAATTTCTAACTGGCAAGAATCGGGTACTTGCCATGAGTTACGATCTTGGTGGTAACAAGGGGCAGTTTTACAGAGGAGAAAAAATCAAGCCCACGATGGTAACGCCAAAAGACCACCATGGAGAGGCATTGGAAGAGATGCAAAAAGCGTTTCGCGTCTCGTTCTCAGACGATGGGAAGAAGGCCGCGTGGGTTCAAGCCGGTGCAGTAAAATTTCGGCCCGATTTGTCCGACGGCTCTCCCCCTTGCTGGACTGTCGTAGATGTAACCTGTGACACGGCGGCGCATGGATCGTTGGGTCCGATCTTGTTCTCCCCTGACGGAAGTCAACTAGCAGTAGTGTTCGGGCTGACTTTGCTCATTGGACCTGCGACCACGGAAGAAGAATTCGACAACCATCGAGTCGCGATACAAATCTTGGAGCCACAACCCTTCAGTTTCAGTTTTGCAAGACCGAACCCACCTGTTCAGATGGTTTGTGCAGCATTCCATCCTCGAGGAACCGAAATGGCATTGGGATGCAATACGTGCCAAGTGATCCTAGTGAACGTGAAAACTAAGAAGGAAGTTGGTCGCTGGATGACTTCACACGACACCACTAACATAGCTTGGTCATCTTGTGGTAAATGGTGGATATTTGGAGCCTGTGAGAATATAGCACGGGTGGAGGTCGCTGAAATAAGGAAATTGTGGAGTGACTGAGAAAGAGTGGAAAGCCTCGATGATGGGAGGAACAGGCTCTGCTAGGTCCACACACTACCGTCATTGAACCCATGAGCTTCTCCCAGATACAAGAGCAGGGACGATGATCATACAAAACATCCAGATCGCTGCCTAGAAAAACACCCCTGACAGTAGTAGCTTCCAGATTCATAGCGCAATAGACACGCAGGGTCCGTGGGGACAGGACGTCTCTAGATTGCACCGAATGATCGCTAAGGTCAGTGCGAAGATGACGGTGTGCTTATCTCCAGGAGCACTATGACAATCCATAGCTAGCGAGCGGACGGCCCATATCATTCCTGCACGGATGAACTAGGTCAACTGAAGGAGCACTTTAGCGAATAAATGCAAGGAAGATCTGTTAGCGCCTCGTGATGTATCCACACTATATCTCCGTGGTGTCGAGACATAAAGAGTCCACAGGAGTCGGAAAGCAGTCGGGCAATGATGGCTACCCTGTCACCTGACACCGGTACAATGTTTCAGCCCCCGTCAACCATCGAAGACTGTCGCGATAGCTCACCAAAGCTGGATGTCGTGGATGTCATTACGCATGCTCCTCGGCATGCACCGCGTGTGATGCTTGCCTCGAGCATGGGTCCTCTGCTTCAGCACTTGGCAACTCGCTGCGCCCACGGATACTACACCGCCAAGAAACACGATCTCTCCCAGTCGACAGTGCATGCTTGTCGCTTGTTTGCAGACCTACACCAGCACAGGTCGTGGGTACTCCAGTCGCTCTCTCGCGCTGACGACACGCCATCACTCCCAACGTCCCATGCATCGTCTGCTGCCACGAGGCGTGCAGAAACTTCGACAGTCTCCCTTACGTCGGCAAACCGTTCGCCGGCCCTCTCGAATGCGTCAGACACACTCCGACCAGACCATGTGAAACTACGAGTTTGGTCACCCACTGGCCGCCAATCATTTTCTATTCCGCAGACCACTTTGAATGACCTGGAAAAGCAGATTGTGAGGCGTCCAAATCACGATCTGGGGTGTGGTTTGGACGCAAGCATCTGTGTCGACAACCAAGACTGGAGCGCCTACAAGGTCGGTTTCCCCTTGGACGACGACTATGTCTCTGCGAATGACGAGGTGATGGAGTGCCCTGCGGAACGCACTGACTTTAGTTGCCTTGGCAACGAGTTTGCGTTCTGGCTATGTATTGCTATGACGAGTTTTCTCACCGAATACCTGGTGTCCGGATTTGCGATGGAGCTCCCTCGCCTACTGGAACATGGGCTGCGACTGGAAGACAGCTCTGGAGCTACCTATTGGCCAGGTTCGCTGCTCACTATGACTATGAGCGCCGGTCTGCTGATCTTTGCGCGTGTCTCGGACATGTACACCGGGTATCTCATGTTTCTGGGCGGGATTGCATGGCTGACAGTCTGGACCCTCATACCAGGCTTTTGTCATGGGCTCACTATGCTCAACACCTCTCGCGCAATGCAAGGGGTCGCCATCGCCGCCTTCACTCCTGCAGCCTTCTCATTAATAGGCAATTTCTATCCGGAGGGAAAGAGACGAAACTTTGTGATTGGCGTTTACTCCGGGTCTGCTCCTCTAGGATGCTTTGGCGGCTTCCTGACGGCAAGTGCACTGCCTTCGGCCAAACTCTCGTGGTTCTTCCGTGTCGCAGCCATCGTGGCAGCTGTTACGTTCGCTGTCGCAATACTCGTAACTCCTCGTCCCGTGGCTCGCAAGAGAGTACCTGATCTACACATGGACTTTGTGGGAGCCGGGTGGATAACATGCGGCTTACTCCTGGTGTCGTACGCTTTATCGGCAGCGCCTTATCAAGATGGACATGTGGCTGGAGACAGCTCTTTCACATCGCCAGCCGTACTCTGCTCTCTCTCGGCCGGCATGACGTGCCTCGCTGTCGCTCTGAGATACGAGGGATGGGTCGCCAAGTGTCCCCTGCTACCTTTCGAATTTTTCAGACCGCGGAACGTTCTGCCACTAACACTGGCAAGCTTGTTCTTCTATGCTACATTTGGCGTGTGGCTGTACAATTCCGCACGCTACATTCTACTCACGTCGACCACCGATGGTGACACCGGCCCAAGTGGCATTACGCTGGCACTATGGTACACGCCGACAGCCGTGGGCGGTACGGTGCTTTGCATTGTGGGCGGGTCGTTGATCCACCTTATTCCGACCATGGCCGTGATAGCAGTGTCCGCTGTGGCATGGGTGGCAGCGCCATTGTTGTTTGCACTGGCTCCTCTACCATTGCCATACTGGACTTACGTTATGCCATCCATGCTCTGCGCTACCATGGGGATCGATTTGACGTTCACTGTCTCCGTCGTCTTTCTGTCGTCGGTCCAGCCGGCACGATACCAGGGACTCGTGGGGGCCGTCTGCTCCAGTTTGTTTGGCTTGGGAGTGTCGTTCGCGCTAGCGATTAGTGGATTGATCATGGATCATCACAGTGACTCACATTCAGCTGCGGATGAGGTGGAACACACGGCATACGAAGCAACGTTCTTCTACGCTACTGGGTCTGCGTTTATCGGACTGTTGATATGCCTTCTATTTTTGCGCATATCTCTCTGCAGTAGGACGATGGTGGTCACGGAAGATCCATTTCTCCAGCTTCCGCGTCCGTTGCGACCATGACGGTGGCGGATCGTTCTGTTGGAAATGCTCAGTCCCCGCAGAATCACCTGGCTGTTTGTTGAATCTGGACTATCGTGGACTATCGGGGTACCGTCCGTAGTGCCTCTACAACATCTCATCTGACAGACAAATTTTGTTCTCGAGTCGGATAACATCATATATTGAACCTCTGCCTCTTGATGCAGCTTCCACTGAGGAACTGTGTTGCGAAGCAAAGCTCGTTGGACAAATTTGATACCCGCTCTCTCGCCCCAGCAGCGTGCGTTCTCATGGTATTTAAAAGCAGTTCTGCGACGAGTCCATGAGACTTTAGACTCCAAGCGCCCGTGAATGGAAGACTTGTGGGAGACTCTTGGGTTCATAATTGAGGTCGAAAGTGTGACCAAGAGGACCCGCCGGGCCTCTACCGGCGTCGATGAATTTCCAGACAAGGTGGCGTCTGACAGCTCTGCGAACCCGTTCTCTGCAGCTTCTCGATCATGCTACTTATACGCAAATATAGTTTGTTTCACCGAAGGGGTTGTATTGGTCTTGAGAGGAAGACTCGGGTTGCTTTCGTACCAAGTCCAACGTTGAACTTCATCCCAAGACAGAAAAGAGCAACACTCCTTCGTCTGCACGGTGCCTGATATGTTCTAAACCTGACGCGACTAAAACGGCTTTCCTGTTTCTTGTACACGTATTTGATGACTGGAACGCGTTGAGATTATTCTGGCTGATACCAAGGTGTCATCTGACGATTATGCTTTAATTGTACCCTCAAAAGCTTATCGCGTGATCGGGAGCTGCCCTCCACGACTCTGTGAGCGATCCTAAACGTCCGGAGAAACCCTCCCAGGCGATCCCCTTTCCCTTTCAAAGGACACTGAGATGGCAAAATGCTCCAACCTGCCGGGCTGTCATGGGTACCTCAATGCCAATAGTCGACTATTGACTTCGTCTCGATGGACGACGTTGATGGATCGTACTTGGAATGAAACAGTCAGCCATTTCTGCGTCCGCATGCCACGAGGCTCCCCCGTGCCCTCAGATGGTATACGCTCACAGGCCTTAGCCTCTGAGGTTTCCCCTCCGTGAGTGTCTTTGAGAGACTTACGATTCTTCCTCCGTAGGGGAAAAGCTGCGTGACAATCGAATGAAAGTTCGCTTCCAGTCGTCCCGTTCATTGTGCACCAAGCATATGAGTAGAAGGATGCAGGAATAGGACACCATCTGATAGTAGTATCCGCAGTAAAGTGCGATTATGCCCATGAGTAGCTCTGCCGAGATGAGGATGGGGTATCGGAAGATGGGTCTGCCGCCATGTTTAAGAAATAGGTAGAAGACGAATAGGAAGGCAAACGAGAAAAACCCGTACAATTGTGCCATGGCGGGTGATTGTGGTGATCACTGGCCGCACCGGAGCCAGATAAGTCAAATGTACATTCTACATGGGGAGTGACGTATAAGAAGCGGAGCTCGTAATCGTGTTGATAGCGCTTTTGTGAAGGATATGATCAGCGTGACGACAATGCGGAGCGGAATCCATGCGCATGCATAGAGATGTGGTAGCCGTCAAGCGCTAACAGGTCTCCGGCAGATTGGATTGGAATGCCGGCATCGGATCTCTGTATGCTTGCATAGGCCCGTGTATACTTTTGTTGGTGGGAATGTCGGGGGTGTAGATTGATGCTCTGCACCGACCGTATCGCTGTCAGGAACAACTGCACGACTGAGCGGTCTTCACCCCTAAGTTCGCTTATGTCCCTTGGTACACGTTCATGCGCCATCAAATGTGACAGGGAAAGGAGGAGATGGGGCTGTAATACAGCTCCCCTGTTAATTCAGCAGAGGGCTCGAAGTGCTAGCGCAGCTTCGGATCAGAGCATTTGTGACTAGAAAGCACCGTGCGTCGGTCTAGGCTTCCCGCCCCTGCTAGCGCTCTGGCCCCACCCGAGTATCTCTGCGCTGGCGGGCCAGAGCCGATGTAAGGGTGTGATCGATGGTCGTGGAGCAACGATTCATGCTAACCATGCGAATGCAAAAGCCTTCCAGTCATGCGTCAATGTCCCTCTTGCCCTCACTCCCATGTCGTCCTGGGAAGCTATAGCAGCGTGTGTTCAGACGGCGAGTATCTCGTTCAATCGCTCACCGCCGAAGGAACAGGAACTTTGGTCTGATCTTCTGCGTTAGCGGCTCAAGCGCCACTGTAAGGGACTCCACATTGATTGTGCCATGTGTTCTCTGTCAGGTTGTGTCATGTTGCAAGATAGCGGTCAAGGACCCTGGAGCACGAACTCCTTACCACTACATCTGCAAGCTTGCGCCTGCACGGAACAAAAGATTCCTCACTCGGACACGTGGATGGACTCACTTGTCTTTTCGGGATTGGTCTTCTCGCCGGAACATAATTGGCTCGCGCGTAGTGAGGGTGGGCATGCAAAAGTGCACCTAGTCACGTGATTTAGACGACAGGATGATGGTCATATCACGTGACAAGGGCAGAAGGTTGCATGACTTGTGATTTTGACAATGTTTGGTCGGGCGAACAAGAGGAATGATCGAGCAGGGATCTATCGTCCTGGCGGGCGATCGGGGCTGAACAGCCGGAGAAATCGGGGGAGAAAAGAACTTCATAATCACGTGAAGCATCCGCATGCTCTGTGGAACAATGCACGCTGGACAATAGCTATGTGTACGTCGTGACTTTCCGCCAAGCTGGGCTGTCGCACGGCGTGCAGCAATCTGCTTTTCAGGACTCGCTTTCCCCTCCACGATGGTCGGAAGACAATCGATCTCCACAAGCTACACCACAGTCATCAATCCACCGGCTGATTGCACATCCTCCTCGCAAAACATTTAGCCGTGATAATGGTGACCTATCAGTATCTAGAGCAGCAATCGATGCGCCGCGATCCCATTGAGAGCCACATTCAGACGCGTTGGCTTCGAAGCACCGTTGTTGCTCAATAGCACCCCGGTGGATCATATTGTTGTTGGAGCCTTCGCCATCCTTCCATGCTCTGTGGACCTGTCGTGCGTTCACATTGCTTCTCGTGCTCGCAGACTGGCTAGCCGTTTGGTCCTTGATGGTTCCACAATCGACGAATCCACGCTTTGACGTGGTAACGTAATCGTGGGACTTCTTGAAGAACGCTGATAGGGCAAGCTTGACACCTCTTGGCCACCCTTCGATGAGCTCGCCAGCGCCACTCTCCTTCAAGCCTTCTAGCACGTCCAGATCTGTCCAGTAGATGAAGCTTTGAACGTCGTGCTCGAAGGACCGTTGGATCTCCTTACATTCGTTCTCTTTGCCCGGCCAGTGGAGAGTGTTATCGCAAAGACTTCGTAGGTAGACATTCCAGTGGAAGCTGATAATGTGGTCGATGGAAGCTTCGGTGAGCTTGAACGTGACTTCTTTTCGAAGGACCATGTCCACGTGGATCACGTAGGCCTGGACGTGAATCATGTCGTAGGTCTCAACGTAGGTCAAGTCGGTGTTTGAAGGAATGATATGAGCTAGTGTCCATATAGCGTCTCGGTCGCTGAGAAGGTGTGCGAGACATTGGGATTGCTGTTGTCCTCGAGTCGTCGAAGCAGAGTATGATTTGAGGAACCCCAGCGCTCGCAATATTTCTACTAACCATGGTTCCAGCTCGGCATCAGAAACGACGCTCGCCTTCGCCCGGGGAGCCAAGGCTCGTGCTGTAGACGGTAGCAGTGGCCTCTGCAGAGTCATGCTCTCACAAGGACTGATGGAACTTCCCCCACCTGAGGAACGGGGAATCATTATATGTGGCGATCGTCAGTGTGAGGAATGTGCAAGTCGCTTCGCTCCATTCATATGCATTGTATCTAAGTGTCATGTGACATCAAATGTACGCCAATCAGACATCCCGATGCCAACATCGGTCAGGCCGGACGTAGCCGCTTACCGCTTGAAACAATGTAACTCACTTGCAAGATACGATGCATCCAAGCGCGAGCGATCTACCAGGATATGTAGAGTAGTAGCAGACTCTGTGGTCACCAAGGTTCGATGTGTGAGGAATGTGTGCTTGCTAGAGCCGAGAGGATGGCCCAGCCTGCAAAGCAAGTAGCTGTAAGCTCGAAGTTTCTTTATCATAGTAGAGGCCACACCGCTTCAGCTGTCTGTAGGACTGATGCTGTGGGTGCGGTGAGACTGCTCCCTCCCTCCCAACACCCTGTACAAATCATTCCTTGATGAACGCTGATCTCACCCTGTTGCTAGTCATGTTTCTGGAACAGACAACGAGTTCGTCAGAGCAGGGTGGAAGAATGGTCTGTCCCTAGCAGCTTCCCCGCTAGAAACTCGTGAGGCAGCCCTCGTCGATAGCGCATGTCTTGAGTCGGTCGTACGAGAATGATACCGCATGTCATCGTCAAACTCACGTGCGCAATACCATTTGAACGAGGCGAGCATACCGGGCAGGGGAAGGAGCGCGGCTAGCATACCCCAGTTCTGGCCTGCGCTACCCTGGGCGACCACAAGTACTGCGGTAACGATATTGCCAAACAAAGCGTTGACGAGCATCCGGTCAACCAAAGACCTCCAAAACAGTCCTCCGGACTCGTGCTTAGTCGAGCATATGTAGAGCAGCATGTACTTCTTGGTGAAAGAGTCGAGAAGGAAATAAATCGCAGTGATGGCAAGTGCGAGTGGTTGCAGTATGCCAAAAGTCAACGCGACTGCGGCATAGAATAGGAAGTAGCTGTACTGTGTGGCATAGTTAAAAGCCGGAGGAGTGGCTGGTGAGTGTAGCGACCGTGCGGATGTCCGGCGCAGGGTATTCCAGAGTAACGGCAGGACCTGACCAAGGTCGACGGCAGCGCCTACACATGATGTCAACAATGAGTACAAAGCTGTGTCGGAGGATGAGTGAGTACCAAGATTCCTCTGTATTAGCCAGCAACACCAATACGTTGTGACCGTGATGAGTGCCTGAATGATTTTCCGCATCACATGACCTTTTGATACTTTATGCCAAGCGTCTCTTCCACTCTGGTGAGCGTTGATGAATACAGCGCCAAATCCCCAGAATGTTGAGAACAGTGAGAAAGCGACCAGCTGGTTCCAAATGAGAAATGTGAATAGCTTTCGCATAACGTGGCGCTCACGGCTGACTTTCGTCATGTCTCCGGCTTTCGTGGATAGTCGTCGAAAGATGGGGGGAAGGTAATAATATACAAGAGATACGAGGATGGGTGGCACAATTCCCTGGACGATACCCCAAAGTATGCGGTGGGAGTCGAGGGTCGCGCGGAAGGTCGGCCACACGAGCGCGAGGTGTGAGAGATTGGTCAAGAATACAGCATTCAGGACGTTAGGAACTACCCAAGCGACTGTCAGGAGAGTGATGTGGAAGGCGTAGACTCGCCGACGGCGTTGCAGTTGCGATCTTGAGTAATCCAGATTTCTCCAGACGAAGTTATCGGGATCGTCAGCTAGCTGGACAGCGATACCTTCCGGGCCTCCGTGACGGTACTTGTATGCCCAGGAGTGAGCCTCGGCGACAGTGGCGAAAGTAACAAATCCGTAAGACATGGCCCGAAGCTCTTGTGGCGATCCTCGTATGGCTTCAATCTCCTTTTGTACTTCGTTAGCTCTTCTTCGCGCACCATCGCGTCTGAGCCCTGTCTCATGCCTCGTCTTTTGGTCCAAATCGAAGTGCTCTCTTATTTTGGCCTCGAGTTTGCCAACGTCACGACCAATCACCCCAATGATACTTCCCTCGGCTAGTTGAGTCACTCCTCGATCTGATCGGAGAGGATGTGGGATGTCGGACAGCAATAAGGTACGTGCGTGAAGGCTGGCACCGTACTCAGGTGATCGGAAATAGGACCTCTTGAGCCGCAAGACTGCCCGATATCCGTACCAAAGGTAGAGACATATGACAATATCGAAAAGGTAGGCCACACCAACGTATACCCAAAAGACGGGGCTACTGCGGCTGTACTGCGGCGTGAGGCGGGAAAAGACCGAGACTCCAGACGCATGGGACTCTTGAACCTGCGTGACATTGATTGGAACCAGTGTTATACCCGCAATGATCGTGAGCGTGGCGAAGAGATTTCGGATCAAGCGCGTGAAGCGAAGAAACACCACGGCATCGAGCCCAATCTGATCAATCAATGCGACCTCTGACGGTTTTGAAATGGCACTTAGCCAGCCGAAGGGAACTTTGGGAACTGCCTCGGGCGCCGCGCGTTTGCTATGTTGGGAAAGACGTGGTTCGTAGACGTTGCTATAGCGTGAGCGAAGGATACAAAACGCGAACAGGACAGCAGCGGTGGTAAGTCCGTAGAACGCCAGAGCGGAGAGAAATGAAGCCGAATAAATCTGTGAATAGGATGAGCGCTTGCAAGTGTACCCGTTCTCGAGGCAGACTACCTCACTATCGAACGGAGACGCGATGAGTTGGAGAAACACGTCTGTCTCGGTTGTCATGGTGTCACTCTGTCGTTGTGTAGACTCAAGAGAAGTCACTGGACCATCTCTTTGTCGTCTGATTATCCTGGTCCAAGAGAAATACATCAGGAAGATTTAGCTGCGACCGTGCTCTGAATGCAACACTTCTGCTCAAAGGGGCTGTAGGGATGGGTTATTCTGATCACAGGAGATGTTCAATATTACGGGGATGTCGCCTTGACATCGATGCTTGTCTGCATAGATGTCGTTGAAAGAGAAGGATGTTGGTGATCAAGGTCGCGACCGAACGTGAAATACGTGATAAGGCAGGGGTGAGATCCACACGAACGATATGTTAAGACCCCCTTGAGTGATTCGTCCTAGCAGTATTCCGAGACCCCTTGATTATGCCGAGACGATATCGGCTATCATCACACATAACTTACTAACGTCGTGATCTCCATAGATTCATGGTCTTGCGTCTGCCGTCCCTCTTCTTCGCGGGACTTTGTTTGTGGACAGCGCACCAGATGACGTGGTCCCAAAGATCTGCATATCCGGATTTGTGTTACATCGGACTGAAGTCTTTACCCGGTACGTTCCATCCTCAATTTCACTGTCGTTGTGGCTTGTGCGTGCGCCCCGGACTACATTGCCTTGCATCTTCTCCGTCCACGACCCTGCTCCCATATGTCGGTGTTAGTTACGCTTCTTGAGACCTTCAATGCGAAGCCCACTCGGCCGACTTCTAGTACCACGCGACCATTTGAATGTGCCGACCTTGAGCTTTGCAGTATCGGAGAGTGACAATCAGAAGAGCATGGTCTATGACCCACACGCGTAGCATAGAACGCTAGATCGAATTTCCCAAGTCCAACGTGCGTCTGTGTAAAGAGCTATATGCCAGGAGGATTCGAACGTTCGGATTTCAGTCTTCTATTCGATATCTTCTTTGTGAGTTGCAATAGGGTAGCCAATATCGGATCTTTATCTTCCACACCCAGTGCTAAGCACGGCGATATATCGCGAAGAGGGATACCGCAGGCGGCACAATCACATTTACCAGTCGATTACGACATCTCCAACGACTACAACAATTTCGTATCTGGATACCACATGATATCGTGTCTTCGGGAACGACAGCAATCTATCGTACATCCGCAGCTTTTTCAAGGGGCACACGTCCTCAATCGGTCATAATCCCTAATCCTGCTCTGAGTCGCACATGGGAGCGTGGCATTTCCTGGCCATGCATGCAGAAGCACTCGCTAGAACTTTCCAATTGTAAGACACCATATTGACCACTTCCGCCGCCTACAGATCATCCCCACGTCACTCGTGGTCTGCTGCTTGTGCACCCGCGACTCTTCCATTTGAAGAGTCAAGGAAAGCCGGTTCATTGCATGGATCGGTCCTGTAAGTGTGTGTATGTAGTCGAAGACCGTGGTTCTCAGCGACATGGCACACCAGGTTTTCCGCACACCGGAGGCGACAGTGGGGCTCAGCTACCGAGCTCTGTTGTCGGTGGTGTGGAGGAAAAGGCCGACATTGACCAATTCCTGATCGTCGACAATCATCAGGAGTCGTTGCCACGGCCGGTGAGGCATTCGAAGTAGCTTTCCCTTCAAAGATGCATGTACCACGTTGGTGCGGCGGAATATTCTGACAAACTGGCGTGCTACAGGGTGGAAGATTGTCTTCGCTTATTTCCGTAGATGAGACGGCATCGCACTCAGAAATGAGGCGCGCCGGTTTAGTAGCCGAGCCGCTTGTGGTTGAGTGTGTTGGAGAGAGTACTCCTTTCCACCGAACCTCCCGTTTGTAATTCTCAGTCAGGTTGGGACACATCGGGGATTTCGCGAAGACACCTCTGATGTACCCACACGACGGCGAGTTACCTTGCTTGATACAGTTGTGCGGAGAGATGGAGGGCGGTGAATGATCTCCACTTTCTTCTGGATTATTCGTCTCGAGACCGGTGCCCTCCACGCTGTACAGAGTCTTGAGAATCTCGATGTCGCGGCCTATTTCCTCCATCCTCTTTTCCACATCGCGCTGAAACGCATGTCGTACTCCGTCCGACTGAGTGACAGTAGGTGCGGCAGCTTCCGGGACGTACGGTTTTGAGACCATCTCCTTTCCATGTGCACACGAGAGCCTCCAGCAATGGACATCCGCTGCCATATGTTCGTGGAACACCAACATTCGTGGAACAGACGTGGAGCGACGCTTTGCACCCTTATAAGGAATTTTACACGCCTGCAACAGGGAACAGTGGAGACGGAGTGGAAAGATTGCTTCCGCACGAGAGAGAGGGGAAACATCCCCCGGGGGGACCAGCCGTCAGCGATCGAAGGGAAGGTGAATGAATCTCACCGCAGCTCAATCGTCCACTTCCATCATCCAAATGCGACCAAGGAGCACCTCGGAAAGCATAGTGGGCACTCACTCATCTGTCGAGTGCCCAATCTACACCATGACATATCGAGTCGAGAATGTCCAGTTTTCTGTGCAACAGCATTACCTCAAACCGTACCCGAACATGGCACTGATCTTATCATATCTACACATGCGATTCTGCGGGAGAGGCTGATCAGCCGGCGCTTCTGTGCTCTATGCTCGGCATCACGAAAGAAATATGTGCAACTGGCGAGGGCATTGCCCTTCGGCAGAGTCTCTAGCAGGCTCGAGTCGGTCGCGACGCCACCTCCAGTTCGATTGTATTGCTCGTGCGAATCGACGGCTGTCGGAGGCGTAGTACGCAGCATAGATATCGGGCCGCGAGAGATGTCATTGCTTTCGCGTGTGGTAGTGCCGGTATGAATATTTGGCAATCGAGTTATGGAACTCGAAGTCATATTTCTTGCCGCCAAGTTGCCAGACATGTGGCCATCTACGCTTTGCACCTTTTATGTGCGTTCATATGTCACGACAGAATTATTTCCATTTGGCGCTTTGAGTCAGCACTCCCATCTTCCATGACTCGGAAAGACGTTAGAGATGCTTCTCAACCTCGGAGGCTTGGTGGCAGAGGGTGTATCGGTAAGTCGACGCCAGACCCAAGACCGCCGACGGGAGAGTTGGAATGTACGTGCGCCAGGGGCCGGGAAAAAACGTGGTGGCGTCGCTAGCGTCGCCAATCGGAAACCTAGGAACCAAGCTGCACAGGAGACATGTACCGAAAACTGGTCTTGGCACACGTTCCCCCAACAAGGCCGAACATAAAATCCCATGTTCCGACTCTGCTTTTGTTTGCTGCCTTGAATATGGACTACCAACGATCATCCCCGCACGCTGCTCGGGCGCCACCACTCCACCCTCCGCCGACCGCCGAGCAGCGAACACTACCAACTCCCGCCTCCGCGCAACCACATCCATTCAGCTCCATTTCTCTGGCCCACCAGTCGTATTGTCCTTTTCCTCCACCGCGGCAGCATGATCACCAAGCTCTTCCGCAACAGCAATACCTCCCGGGACCGCCTGGGCCTAGCCTACCGCCAATCGTTTCGAGACCGCAAGAACCTGACGACAGCCTGCCGTACTTTCCACAGGCGAGGGCATTACAACACGACATGCGCGAAGGCGTAAGACATTATACACGCGACAACCACGTTCGGTCTGTCCATGCCACGCCAGCACCAGTGTACCCACCGCAGCGCCACCAACCGCCGCCCGGTCACTATGGGCCGCACCACGATCCGTACCCACCTTCACCGCAGCATGTGTATTACACGCAGAGCCGTGATTCAGCGTCGAGCGACCAATCCAACGCTCAGAAGAAGAGGTTTGCGCGCGCCGCTCATGTATGATGTCGAAACCCCAGCTCACTGAAAGCTTGCGATATGCTGATTCGATAAAGGCATGTGAGCAATGTCGCCAAAAAAAGCAAAAGTGTGACGAAGGCACTCCCTGTTCGTTCTGTGACGAAAAAAATGTGAAGTGTGAATATCGAGAAACATCACCAACGAAGTAAGACGTTGTCTCTTTCTTTGGAGCACGACTTCTGACTAATGCTCTGTACAGGACTGACAAGAACATGGAGAAAATATTCGAGCTCGTGCGAGACCAAACCGTGGAAATCCGTTGCATCAGAACATGGCTGATTGATGTCTTTCACCTACTAAAATTACAAGGAAACACCACATGGGTCACCAATGGGGGAACGCAACTCGGTGGATTCGTAGAGCGGGGATTATCCACTGACGGAGAGCTGGAAATTCAAATGTCTGGGATGGACTGCCACCAAACCGCGCCCCACAGGCTAATCTTGCTGTGGCCGAGTGTCAGATCTTTGCTCAGGGATGCCAACGTGGACGTCGGCGATAGCTACGTGATGGAGGCAGAGGATTGTGGCATTCTGCAATCTTGGAGTCGAGGTGAAGACAATCATGAAAACAATGGCACACAACCAGGTGGTTCGGCGAGTCCAGCCCCTAGAGACGACAAGCGTGGTCATCACAATACTAACAACCCGAGTCCGCCCCATAATTCGTGGGGTACAGGCTTTCAACACGCGCCTTCAAGCGACGCATCATGGTCAGAGCCACTTGGAAAAGGTGGACTCAGACCGGATGGCACTCTCGATCTGGACGTCATTGCCATCAACTCTCTCTATGACAGTTACATGAAGAATATGCACGTTATGCATCCATTTCTAGAAAAGCAACAGGTACGAGAGATATTCGACAGTTTCATCAGTCGATATGGTACCACGCAGACCACACTTCCCACCAACTTCGCTGTCGGAAACACCTCAGATCCAGAGCGGCCATTGAAGAGACAACGGTCGAACGGCTCGACGGCAACTGGAACCATGCATCAAGAAGAGAGAACAGGGCGACGAGAGCTTACTGAAAGATCTCCTACCGACGTTATCGTTTGGCTGATCCTTGCATTGGGCAAGATCTGTGCACATAAAGACGACCTCGCAGGAATCGTGCCGGACAGAGCCAGCCACGCAAACACGGCCTTGTTGCACAGTTTGACTGGCAACTCTGGGCTTACCAACATCTCACCCACGTCTGTCGCGATCAAGTCAAACGGAATGTCGCCCAGCACCCCTCCTGTAGCGCGTCCCATCCCGACAAGAGTGGAAGATTTGATGCAATCAGACATGCACAGCCGGCGACCATCAACCCACGGCGCACCTCCTTCATCCAAGCTTCGAAACCTAGACAAAGTACCAGGTTTGGCTTATTACGCAAAGGCGGCAGAGATCCTCGGCAATCAGGCTGACGGCAACGACTTGATTCATGCCCAAATGTTTCTGCTCGCCGGGCTGTACAAAGGCCAGCTAGCGCGTGTCAAAGAGAGCATGAGCTGGTATGTCATGGCTGGGCGGGCAATCCGGATGTTGCTGAACCGGTACAAGTTGTACAACGACCGCTACCGGGACTCTCACGGCGGCATTCGCAAGGTCCAGGAAAGCGGTCAGATGCGCATGAAGGACAGACGTTTGATTGTTCTAGCCTCGTGGACCTGCCTGCAGTTGGAAAGTGACATTCTAGCGGAAATGCGATTCCCCTCTAGCGGCATTGGAGCCCTCGAGAATAGACTGCTGATGCCAGACTACATGTCAGAGAATGAGGAGGAGGAGGAGAGCCACGCCAAAATCATGCCATACGACGACAGCACGCCTAGCAACTTCGACGCGAACCTCAGGCACTACCGGTCACAGATTATCCTTCACAGACTACTCAACCGCTTCCACATAGATATGCACAGCGACAAATGCTTGAACCTGCCGCTCAGCGAGGTCCGAGGTATGCTCAAGGCGCACGAAGATGTGCTAAAAGATTGGCGCTGCACTCTGGCTCCTGGACTGAAATGGGATGACAAAGATGCACCCGCAGTGGATATTCTTCCAGCTCAATTACGCGCAAAGTACTACGATGCGCGTTATTTTATCAACAGGCCTTTCTTGGACTACGCTCTCCACATCATGCCTCATGTGAAGGACGGGGGTACCATCGCGGACTGTGGGAAATACTGCAACGGCAATCCTCGCGACAAAGCCGAAGTTCACCTTTTCGAGGCAATCGGGCAGTTCTCGGAAGATGAAATATGGAATGCGTCCAAAAGATGTATCGACGCGGCCATGCAAAGCACTATTGCGTTTGACCGCGTGCCGCCACGCCTGATTGTTACTAATATCCATGGTACTGCTCACGCGTAAGTTTAACCATCTTCTGATTCTACTTATTCTTCACGAAGATTAAATCGTGCCCTAGGCAACTCGGCAACATGCTCGTCGTCTCTGCGGCATACCGCAACAAGTGGCTCAACTCCTTCATTGAGCCCGAGCAGTTGAAGAAACTCCTTCGACGCACCATCGTCTTTTGCCGCAAGATCGCGAAAATCTCGCTCACCTCCAAAGTCGACTGTATGATACTCGAGAGGATAGACCACATGATCTTCGGCCCGCTGGATGAGGAGTAGTGTCACGATGAACATCAGCCTCGTAGCGCTTCGACGTCGTTTGCGTACGGTGCGTGAGGCGCGCAATGGTGGGACGGGCTCACTGTCGTGTAAGCGGCCAAGCCTGAGCTTCCGAAGCCTGGCCTGCTTTCACCACGTTAGGCACGATTGATCTGTAGCCTTATGGCATGTGGCCGCTTCTGGTATCTAATAGGCTCATGAACTTTGATCGCTGTCTAGCTTGTCTGACAATCGGCCCGCATCCCGGTCTTTCATCAGCCGGGCAAGATTAAGCTAAGCAACGCAAGCATCCTGCGGATCGTTGCGCCGCACCCGGTTGATAACGCGGTATACTGATCGCTCCCCAGGAAGCAGGCCTTTAGCAGGAACGACCTACGATTCCTCCCTCTGACAACCAGGTCTCTGCGATGCGACTCCCCTACGTCCAATTTTGATCGTAACCCTGAGATGGCACGCTTGGGGGCTCTCGCGAACTATTTTTTACGGACATCTACCTGGCCGTGCGCAGACACAATACTCAATTCGAACGGCAGTACTTGCGCAAATCTGGCAGACCAGTCTAATGTGCCTTGGAACTTGACAGCACTTCTTCCCCAGGCGAGACGACGAAGAAACATGCTGACATGAGCAGTCGTCAAAATGCTCACCATACCGCCACATCAGCTTCTACTTTCGAGATTCCAGGCCGGCCTCGGGGGAAGATAGGAAAGGAGGTGGCGTCGCCAGCTGGACGTATCGTATTGCAAAAACTTTCAGTGGTCGTCAGGCTCGAGTATGGAATGCGGACGCGGATGAGATGGGAGCATGTCACCATGCTTTTCGTGACGGAGATCAGACCGAGCAGGCCTTATTCTTACAGTCGCTCTCTGGAGGGTAACATTTGTAAAATGGCGCGCGGCTCCAGATTGGTACGCCAGTCGAGTGAAAAGAGAACGCGTCCCCAAGGGTTTCATCGGACAGTACCGAGTCGCCAGGCGTTTTAGAAAATGATCGGAATACGACCGCCTTCCAATCGTCGTGAGTTCGATCGCACTTCGTAATGTCGTTCTGGAGTCCACTACAGCAGTGGTATGCCCGGCACAGAGTCTAACCTGATCATTAGCGAAGTTGCTTTGATCCTTGTCGCTGACAAAGGGAAGTAGTGTATTCTCAATACAATCCACACAAGCCAAACAATCTCCTTCCAATGGTAGAATGGTAAGGACGTCCTGTGAGCTTCCCAATGGCACGGTGACGCGTCTCCTGTGTAGCGTATCTCCTGTGTATAGCCAGCTTCGTCCTTGTTGAAAACTGCCATCGAATCTGGGGTGTGGCTGGGGATTTGCAGAATGTGAAGTCCTAGATCCACGCGTTTGTACCGCAGACGTTCGTTGTGAGCTGCAAATCTGGCTACGCAAAGAGAATTTGAACTTCTCTGGCGGGCGCCGAGGAACGACAGGTTGTAGCCAAAAAAGACGATGCTGGCATCGATATAAGCGAAAGGTTCCGTGCCGCCGACGCGATCGACGTGCAGGTGGTGGAAAATACCACTCGGTGACGCTCCTTTCTCACATTCAAGGTCAAGCTCTTCTCAATGAATGTCTTGAGCTTCATAGCCGAGGCGTCGTTTGCATGACTCTGCCCGCCACGGTCAGAGTCTATTCCGACACTATCGCAGTCGCCGCGTATTGTTTGGTGTGTACGAAGGGCCATTCGAGGTAGAGATCATTCTAGATGATAAAGTCTGTGCTGCTGGTCGGCCGTTCGATCTTGAAAGACGGAGCTGTGGAGTGGCGTAAAGCAACGCTATGCCCTAGTTGCGACCGAAACACACACCCTCGTGGAGGTTAGCACACTGAAGTAAGGAGCAAGCTTGCCAGGAGATCGCAAACTGTACATCGTTTTACTGCCCTCGGAAAACGCCACTGGTGAGCAGGCTGTAGTTTCAAAGTCACTCGGAAACAGGTGAACACAAGAGCACGTTTCCATCATTTCCACTTTACAACCGTCCGATTGTTCGCCAGCCGCGCTGGAACGCGACTTTCTGTCTTACTGTGCGCCATGCGATGACCGATTCCGGTCTTGCGCTGCTGTCACGTGACTCCTTTGACGACGGAAAACGGCGAGATCACATGACGTCACAACGTGCAGCACTCAGACCGAATCAAAGTGGATTTAATTACCTCGAGTGACTCCCCTCATATGGTCAGTTGATGGTCGCTTGTGACTTTCACCTAGACCCTGCCCTAAGCGCAAGTTATGGGAGCCTCTAATGCTGCGTCGTATTCTATACAAGATCTGAGGATAGAGGATTAAAAGGAGCTGTGGTCATCGTAGTAAGGCGCCTCAGAGAGCAGAGACTGGAAATGAAATCAACATTATAGAAGGAGCTTGGCTCATTCTAGAGACAAAGTTTTTTTCTTTCTGGACCTACCCTCTTGTACTTCTTAGCTTCGTCTCAATATCCCCAAACGTCGCTTCCTCTGTAGGACTGATCAATGCTGTATCTTACGCGTGGAATGTGGTTCAGTCACCACTGGTAAGTAACGACGTGCCGCTAGTTTGGCTGAAGGTGCAAATACCCCTTCCCGCTTCGGACCCCGCTAGAGAATGGTACTTACTGTCGTGATCCCATAGCCGTGTTATAACAATCAATTTGTGCGGCACAGAGTGTCTTGTTCTTTACGCAATTACAGGTATCGTTAATAGCGCGAGCGCTTGGGCTTTCAATGGCTGCAATCACTAGTTCCGCGAAGCTCGACCGACTGAAACAGACAACTGACGACACAAAGGCACAACTACTCAAGAATGCGGAGCAGCTTGCCAATCAAGGGCCAAAGCTTCAAGAGCTATCTAGAAGCAGCGGAAATCTTGTTGACAGCGCTGGCGGTTTTCGAGGCCGTGCTACTCGTGTCAAACATGAAATGTTCTGGAGGTACATAAGGTGGTGGGCTTGCATCCTAGGCCTCCTTACAATCGCAATCCTAGCGTTGGTCGCCATACGTAAGCTACAATCCTCCGTCGTTGGAGCGTCAAACACTCAGAAGAACGTGCAGTGATAGTGCGATCTCACAATGATCGCGGGGAATGAAACCAGAGAGCCCGCAGACCTACAGTGAGACCTAAGCACTCAGAACATCGCACAAGATACAAGGCAGGCAGAAGGCGAAAGTGTACGTACAGGCGCGAGAGTGGATAGAGGGCAGACATCTCGGATCGGTATAACAATCTCGTATCTTTAGCATCGACTACGAAGGGGACAAATGGTTGTTAATCCATCGTACTTCCAAGAGGCTTGTAAGGTGTCTCATGTGCGGATCGTCTCGAGGCCCCTTCCTGGTAGTGTTAGATATGCTCGTGCAAGACGACGTCGGAGATGATGATTCAACATCAGCCGCAATGGCTGGGTTGTGAGACTGTTCAAGGTGTATTAACAGGAATTCCCGGGTCTTTCAGTGTCTCCACGACTATACGTCCAACGCGGGTTTTATGTTCATGCGTAACAACCGTTCGAAGTGGCTTGCTATCCTGGGCCGACCACTCCGGCTCATTCAGAGGTCGAGTACTGCTAACAAGGCAAAATGGTCCATATCGGCTGTCTGAACCGACTCCTTCGTCGTATTCTGTCCATTGTACTTTTCATGTTGCCCGCCTCCCCTACAGCTGCGATTCTGGTTTGCAGCTGCGCATGGCTGGCCTGAGCGGGTGCCGCGCCGTACGTCCCCGCGCTGAATGATGTTCCCTGATAATGTACAAGGCCGCGGATCGTGGCCGATATTGCCTGCAGCGATGTCATCGTGCGAGAGACGTTGCGTGAAAATTCCCAGTCGCTCGGTCGCTGTGGACCCTTTGTGTTGCCTGTTACTCTGTGTCCCAGGAACGAGCACTTCGAATGTGTCAAACTTTAGATCAGTGCAAGCGAACAAACATGCACTCGTAGTTTACATACTGCGATTACAGCCCAAATTACTCATTTCGTTTCACTGGATACGTCATGACACCTGACATCCTCGAACAAGCAGCCAACGGAAATTCCGGGTGTTGGACGGGCCGTCGCGCATATGCTTGTTCTCACCTCATCTGCCTTTGCTCGTCCTCAGCGAGCATCCCTCAAAGTCCTAGGACAACCCCCGACAAAACCAGAACGACATGCAGTAATTCGCGATGCCGTAATTGACGATGGCACGTCGGTCTGTAGTGCAGGAATCAAGTTTTACAATGTCAAGTGCTAAACATTACACCGCATCCCGCGACCGGACTCCAGCTCTTCATTGGCCAGGTCTTATAAGAGTCGGACTGTCTCGTCAACAAGATCTGACAGCCCGTAAGAATGAGCGACAGCACCCTGCCGCTGTGACTCGATAGAGATGGCTGTCTCCGTGCAAGCCCGAAAGGCAAAATGCTACATTGGTTCTCTTGCGGTCCTGCTTGGACTTGAGCAACCTATGATCCATGACGCCATTTTCTCTAGTGTCGGCATTCACGAGGCGCGAAGACGCCCAAAAGGTTTCCCTTACCGATCTGAAAACTGCGTTTGGAGAAACTGTACGCCATTTGCCACTAGCCGAACGCTTTCCCTCGTATTCTGACAAAGGCACGAGGTTCGAGCTACACAGCAAGGGATATTGTTGCCAGACGTATGTACTACCAATCAAGTAATCATCGCTCGGGATAATGGTTGTATGCCTGCTAACAAGAACAGCATATTCTTCACCACACACAAAGCTCGACCGTGCTTTGAGGCCTACAGTATGTATTTCGCTCATATCGTGACGACTATCCTTCTCGGTTTAGTGCGCGAGCAGACACATACGATGTGCCTGTCCTCGATGTCTGTCTCGCATCCAATGCTTTGAGCTGGAGATTTTAGATATTCTCGACGCGCCAGTGCTGAGAATCTATCCTGTGCTTTTCACGTATGGCGAACTCCACTATGGTGAAGGTGACGGTTCCGAGGACTTCCTTATTATCGGCACCGGGGTGTCTTTGCCAGAAAATAAAAGGAAGGGAAAACCGAGCAAGCGCCACAACCAAGAAAGAAGTAAAGAGATCCTCGGTCGTATATCACGCGATCGCTTCGAGTACGAGCGGTTTCACTAGCTAGACGGCTGAACACAGACGTGGAACACGCTTTGACGATCTTGCTGCTAATCGGCAAGATGCGGCAGCGTGCTTGTCTCGAATCGACCTGGACAGTGTCTATCTATTTATTCTTGGCACAGTAGGACGGCGCAGACGATGTGACTGCCGAAGCGGCCATGGCGGCCTGGGCAAACAGTTTGGGGGTGTATCACTGCAGGATGGACGCGTGGAGCATAAAGCGGTTGGATGGGAATATCAATATGTGATCTCTTGACTGCTGATGCTCCCACTAGAGTTTGGCACGATAAAGAACACTATGGGATGTTGGACAATTGATGGTACAACACACTACTGGAACAAGATGGTTGTGCTGTCTTCGCGATTGCCCGCTGGCCTTCCCAAAGACATATGTCGAGCCAGTAGTCGCGCCTTCGCTTTGAGATGGCAACACGTTTCTGAAATATATATATGCAGGATTGAGGAGAGATGAGTCCAGGTATACACAAATCTATGCAAGCGAGCTGCCACGTACTATCTTAGATGGCTGTCTTTTGTGAACTCGATACGAGCTCCTTTTCAGCACGGAAGCTAAGAGGTTACTGCGGGGTCGATCGTGGAAAAGGAGGGGGAAGGCAAGTGGCTATATTCCATAGCCACACTGGCATGAAAAGGCCTTCATCGGACAACATGTACACTAATTTGATGACTGTCAACTCTCTGCTCACCGACCAGCTATTGACGCTCTTCTAATCCTCCTGTCGCTCTTCGGGCCAACGTGCGCGATTCCAAGCCTTTAGCACCACCTATATGGATTATGGGAGTTGCGAAGCTTCCCACCATAGACGAGCCAGACGACGTAGCCAGCTTGTTCTCCCTAGGAAGTGTCTCCAGCGAAGAAGACATGAGATATCGGAATTGACAGGCCATCATAAGAGTGGTACTAAAGGATCGTCAGGGAAAATCGTAGGAGAGCTGTCGAGACGCTATAGCCAGCAGGACGCTGTTTGCCCTACTCAAGGACTACTTCAGGATGGCGGTCACGTGTCTGTCGGAACCCCAAAGCTCCGCCTTCAAGATCCCTTGAGCACCCTCTTACCCTTGTGGACACACCAAAAGCACTCGCCGGGTATTATTACGGAACCTGAACCAAGCGGAGCGTTTCGAGCCGATTGGGATCGTTTCGAAAACGTGGCGCCACTCGACACTGGAAGCGCAGGTGTGGGCGTAGACGAACGATAGCACGTTGCCTACTAACAAATGGGCAGGTTCCGTAGCGCCTCGGCCGCGTACTCAGCAGCGCAAAAAAGTCCTATTGCCTTCGTTAAGCCCAACATACATACCTTTCGAGACCGAATACCGATTGTTGAGGACGGTGCAAGAAATTCTGGAAAGGTCATGCTACTCTTTCGCAAAGACAACTCCAGCGAGCGTACTCAAGATAAAGAGATGGGACTGCGCTAAGCACGTGGGGCTCAATGTCTGGTGTGTAATGTTAAGAAACCTGCAGTTCTCAAGAGCGAACATGCCGACTTCTGAGAGATCTATCGATGATCTACTGGATTCTATGGCCGGGCTACGCGACGTAGCTACGTACAGGGAGACAACATCGGCGAGTACGCTGCTTGCACTGCTTACCGACGCAGAAAGCTTTGCAACGCTGCTTGGAGATAACGCTGCCGCTGCTGGCATTGCAAAACATCGGAGTGTGCTACAGAGTGCTGTAGATCAAATCACGTTTAACAGTGAAGTTCTGAGTTCCCGAACCACGACAATAATACAAGACCAAGAAAGAGAGATAGAAAAGCTGAAGGCCCGCCAAGTCGCAGCAATACACGAGATGCTCGAGGAGGACAGAAGGTTTCGCAAATCAGCCGTGACAAGCCTCGAGGTCAGCATGGACGTGAGCCGGTCAGATAAGCGAGGAAGGGACAAAGCAATGGATGGGAGCGATGTTGTTTCGGACAGCACAAGTGAAAGCGAAACATAGGATGAGTCTTCACGTGATCGAGCTATATGCTTGCAGGGATCATATGTCCTTTACAAATCTCGCGAAACGAATAAGTCGCCTTTCCGCAGGCGTATATTTACCAAAGGAAGCTCTTCCACAGCCTGTAACGAGCGATGACGGTACGGAAAGACGGTTTCGGCCAGAGCGAGGCCAACGAAGCAACGTAGGACCCCGTATATGAGTTGAAGGTGGAGCTGCTAGCTAAGTCGAAGATACGTTCACCCGATAGATATACGGATAACCAGTGCCTACGCCCAGCGCTTGTCAAAGCGTAGTGTTCGAAGTGAACGCTGCTCTAGCGTTTACACTTCTGACATGGGAGTGCGCTGACCTGTGCGATAACGTCCTGCAAGTTCTCGATCGTGGTCGTGTTCTTCTCTAACGTTGCCTCCTGCTGAACGACATGGTGTTCGAATGCAGCTTTTAGAATCTCAGGAAGCACACGCACTGCGTTGATAAAAGACTCGTCTTGCAAATATTCTCGCGCATTCATGGCGATGTTACGGGACACATGGTCGCGCAAATCGGCCGCAATGTGTGCCTCATACTTGTATATCAGGCGGCACACTACCTCCAGACCCTCTTGGTAGCCGCTGTCAAGGAGCTGCTCGAATTTGCCTTCGGCGAGCCACTTGAGATCCAGTGCTTGATAATGGCTCGCGAAGATGTAGACGAAGACGTTCGCCTGGAGCCTAGCGATGTTCGAGGAGACCCTGGACTCGCTTCGGATAGCCTCGTCGTTTCTACGGCTAAAGCCATCAAAGTTGTAGCGGGTCACCATCACTTGGTCGTTTTCGCGCACTTCCCAAGTGTGTCGAAGAAGCTCAGACTGCGGAGACGAAGCTGGGGTACAGCATCGCGATACGTAATTCCAATGACTTTCACTCGGCGTCGGTCCAGTGCCTAGCTCTTCGACCCCAAGGTCCGACTGTGGGGTAGTGGGAGTACAACAAAGAAGTTCTGCCGCTGAGGGTTCGTCCTGGTAGATGACTCCAGTACTGGTATCATCGTAGCTTCCCTCGTACCAGTAGTGGAGCGCACGCCAGAGTGTCCACGAATCGCCGACGGCGATCTCGATGTTCTGCGCAAATCGTTCCTACAAGACTCCGTAAGTTCTTCAGCAATAACCATCTTCTCATCGCACGCTTACCAACTGGTTTATCTGCTGACCCAGAATTGGTGATCTTCGATGAATGACGGCCTTGTGCACCCGGAACGACCGGTCTTGACATGTGAGCGTCAAGTCAGAAAGATCGCCACTCTGGAGTAGCGATTCGAGGTTTTGGAGGGCTCTCCGACCGCCCCTGTCGACATCTCCCGTCGCATGGGAGTGCTCGAGCTGGGTCACGCGTGGTCTGCGAGTGTTCGGAAGTGCGAGCGGCATCTAGTTATGCAATACACTATAAATGCAGATGAAGAAGAAGAGAATTCAAACTTGGGGTGTCTGACGCAGCGGAAGCTTTTTAAGCATGTCGGGATCGACGCTTAGCCCATTCCAGGAGGTGAGGACGAGGCATTCAATGGATGGCAACAGACTTGCAGTGTAAAGCGCTAACAGCTTGGGATGTGTGGGTCGACGTAAGCTGCCCGGGGTGGCAGCCATAGACCCGAATCGTCGACGCGACTCGTGTCTTTGGTTTGTTGAAACTGTCTAAGTCATTCCCGATCACAAGTTGTATGCTAGTTTCACAGAAGAAGGCGCAATGCGGCTCATCAACACTAAGAGAAGTAAAATATATATCACAAACCGTGTGCGAGAAGCTCCTAACGCCATATAGTCTATATGCTAGAGCAGTACTCGCCAGCATCGACCCTGGGCGTTCTGCGTAGTGAGAACTAGTCCATCTGGGTGTCCCAAAGAACAGCTAATCAATTGCCGAGCAAATCAAACCGTAGTTCTACTGCGAGCCGGTGGTCGCCACCGACTTAACCGAACCCACCCGCAGCGCAATACGTCCGTCCCGTCACCAGATAAACCCCGTGGCCGTCTCGAAATGCTTTCATTGGAGTCACATGAGTCGAAGCTGTGCGCTCCTGTCCTGTCAATGCCCCTAGAGCCCGGGATGAGATCCGTATTACTCTACATTGCACCGTGCGGTCACGCGAGTGTGTAGCGTACGGGGATTCTATTTGCCTAAAGACATACACGATGCTATGAGTCGCTAGCGAGCGCATCGTGCGCTGCATTGTTAAGCCAGGCGATGGAGATGCAGAAGGGCTGTTCTGACCTCCCCAACCCTCGTCAATGTATCGTGTGCTATGCATCTACCGGCGAACGCTCAAGGGGTGCGGATAGGATGACCAAGGCTTTTCGGCGTAGTATATACAACCTAAACCCTCATCCCGAAGTTCGATCGCATCTGCACACATTTACGAGTCGAAGACATTAAGACGTTCTCTTGTGGAGGCAGCTTAGCCACCTGAGCAGTCCGCTAGGCTGTGATGGGTTGATGTGGCAAACCTTGTTCAGACCTCACCGTAGTCTTCGAGCTGCAACATTGTGGTACCCTTGAGCACAACGATTGTAACGTTAATATAAGCTCACCCTTGTACAGTCGAAAAGTCTCTGTTGGCAGCGCGACCACGCGAGTCCACGTACAAGGGTAATACCAACAACCATCTCTACGTAAAACATTGCAAGACGTTGGCTGACAGTAGTGCGAACCATCCCGTCCATGCGAGCGTCAGGAAACTTCCGCCAATAGTCGCGATGAGACCGACAGATTGGCCATAGCTGTTGATGGCATCGCTGAGTTGGACCGCCTCACATGTAGCCATTGAAGCCGCAAACAACAATATGACCGTAGATAGCCACCTTCCTGCAAAAACTGCGATACCTCCGATGCCAAAGGTACAACACAAGACGTTCGCAACGGTCAGAGCGATGGTCAACAGCAACGATCCGACGGCTGCGCAGTATAGCCCTATCATGATCCGCTGATAGACTTGCAGCGACAAAGACGCAATATGATACAACGACAGTAGGCGTGCGATCGCGTGGTGGCTCATGTCGCCTGACTGCTGGACCATGCTGGACTGCAGGTCGAAGGGACCCCTAGTTGTCATTTTCGAACACGCTATGACGTCTTTACTTATATCCTTCCGTGACATCGTCTCATCGGGTACGGGGCTTGGGACGAAATCGCCGTCACAATAATTCAGAAGGTGCACAGAATAGAAGTCTCGTAGTCCTAAGGCACTTGCAAGGTCATGAAGTCCTGTCTGAATGGCGTTGTCGATGGCATCATCTTTGCTGTTGACCGCTTCGGTCAATCCAGGGAGTACTGCGATGCGCTGTGCAAGATTCGGCTGGCCCACACCTGCCTCGAGCGTGTCCTTGCTTTCAGCGACGTCACTCTTTTCCACGTGATGATGAAGAAAGGCATTTGCATCAATGCTAGAGGCATTCACCTAGCAAGTGTCAGCTGTCAAGCGAACTTATGTGCTTTGAAAACCCGTACCGTCAAGACTGCAAACTTCTCCATGAAGCCTATCCGTGAGCCGGCGAAGAGAGAGAGCATTGTGAGCAGCATCGATAAAAGGCAAAGAAGCCAGGACATCAGTCCCGCGAAAGGCAACTTGAAGCACATTGTAGGTATGTATACCACTTAACTAGAAACGCGTAAGATAGGATAGAGGAGGAGACTCTAAAGAACTTAGAAGTCTGGCCGAACTTGATTTGACAACTAACGGTGTTGTGCTCGACTTGGGGTCGTATGGACATCTTGAGTACAAGTAATGAAGAGTGGGGGTTAGTTAGCGGTCAATCCTTGTACTAGGTGCTCCAAAGCTATTAGATCCCTGCACACTCGGAGCTAGCGAGCGTGCGTTAGAGCCGGTCCTTGTACATAATCCTAGCCAACAACATTTTTCCTCTAGACATAGCCCCTTCACACCTCTTTACTTGTGTTTTGCTTAGCAGAGCAATCTGCTTCATGGTGGTCTTGACGTCTTTTGTTAAACGGATCGTCCTTTATACCCTCTATATCTTTGCGTTACAGGGTGGTTTGGGAAGGCCGACAAGCCGGAGGAAGGAGGACGACCTCTCACTAAATAGCAGCCTGTTGTGTTAAGCAGATACAGGACTGTAGCATACAACCATGGTTCGTTCAAGCTTCTGTGACTACTATCTACTGGACGATAAAGTGACCATGGCATAACGCATACTTACGACGACAGGAATTCCGTTTCGGTAACAGGTTCCGTATCGAGCGGCAAATCGGCAGCGGCTCATTCGGAGATGTCTACATAGGTGTGTATGAGTCAACAACAGCTCTTCTCAGCACCTCTGAACTCTTTCATAGGCACTGACACCACCTCTGGTGAGAGGATCGCCATCAAGCTGGAACCCGTGCAGGCGAAGCATCCTCAACTAGAGTCCGAGGCCCGGGTGTACAGTTCTCTCCTCGGCGGCGTCGGTATCCCATCCGTAAGATGGTGTGGCACAGAGAACGGATACAAAGCCATGGTGCTCGACCTGCTGGGCCCTTCGCTCGAAGATCTCTTCAACTTCTGTCATCGCAAGTTCTCCTTGAAGACTGTGCTCTTGCTTGCTGATCAGGTTATCTCTCGCCTTGAGTACATACATTCGAGGTCCTTTGTCCATCGCGACATGAAGCCTGACAATTTGCTTATGGGCCTAGGTAAGAGGGGACATGTGTTGAACGTTATCGACTTTGGAATGGCGAATAAATATGAGGACCCGGAAACACTTTCCCATATCCCCTTTCGCGACAAGAAACCTCTTACCGGGACCGCGCGGTACGTGTCTATTAACACGCATCTCGGAATTGGTATGTACTACGGGCAATATTCGTGCGGAGCAGACTAACATGAAGTCTAGAACAGTCCCGTCGGGACGATATGGAGACGCTCGCATATATAATGCTTTACTTCCTTCGCGGTTCTGTGCCTTGGCAAGGCCTCAAGGAACCCACGAAGAAACGAAAGTACGAGTCTATTATGACAAAGAAGATGACTACGTCGACTGAGATGCTCTGTCGTGGCATCCCGAAAGAGTTTGCCGTCTTCCTCGACTATACTCGCTGTCTCCAATTTTATGACAAGCCTGACTACTCTTATCTCCAGAAAATTCTCCGCGACCTCTTCAGGCGGAAGGGTTTTCAGTACGATGGGGTCTTCGACTGGACGGTCTACAACCATCAGAGGAATGCGAAAATGATTGCGCAGCCACGCTGTGCTCAGGTGGCTGCTATAGGACGAGAAGAAAAACCAAAGTGTCGATGTATCCAGGTTGTGCGAGGTCATTCTGGCTTAAGCGGTCCGGACGGCAAGGCGGGACGCTGCGTCACACCCATGATGGACCAGCAGCATGTGAGTATAGAAAGACACTAACCTCTCGCTCCATTATACTTACATATCCTGTAAGGTTGAGGTACCGACCGCGCAAAGCAATGGTGATTGCAGCAAACAGAACAATAGGCTTCTGTGATGAAGTCATCCTCAATATCTGTACTAGCATTAGTAACGTCAGAATAGACTGTGTATTTTGTGCACTCTAGAAGCGGTTCTCATGCACATCTTTAGTGTAGCCGGCCTGCAACATGGGGTCACGTACAATGGCGAGGTGCCGTTCCGTGTCCGAAAAATTGGGCCCCTACTACAGTCAATTATCTAAAGGGGGACGTCGGACATGTTGGAGATCGAGGCGATGACCGTCGTCATCGCCTTCCTTGCATAAATTTGCACAAGTCGTAAACACTTCACCTGGTAAGATCAATCTTTGGCTTGAGTTGAAGGCTATAGGAGTCCAAATACCGTGTTGGACGTTTTGTGTCGTACGAGAGTGATCTATCGGCTGTTGGCTTGGTGAACATCTGAATTTCTCGAGATGCACGCAACACACTAGGACAACGCTTCTAATGAGACCACTCTGCCCCTCAAAATGGCACGCAGAGCAGACTGTTAGCAGGGCTTGCGTTGCGAAATTTCAACAGCGGTAGCGAGATGCATGAAGCATAGTGACGAAAAGTACGCATATTTACCACGTGATCTCGACCAAAGGACTCTTTACATATTGCACCGATGCCTCGACATCCATCGAATGGTTGCATTAGAGCCGCCGCTAATCCGAAAGTTCGTACAATCTTCAGGAAGGGATCAGTGGCCATAGGGAGCCACGCATCTATTACAAAGTTTGCTCCGCTACTCGCAAACATATCGACATCTTTCTCCACTTAGAGATACAACAAAGAAGCGAACGGGAGAAAAACATCTTTGGAGAGGGGTTTGAGCGCTGCAAAAGGCCTCCACCTTTCCATCACAGTGCCTCCCGGTCTGTTGGAGGGGTGGCTCCTCACAATCAAAATCCTCGGTTACAGCGTCCTTTCCTATAGCTCTGGCAGACGTGTCGTCCGCAGGGGCGAAGCCCGAGGGTGCGACCACCGTGGTAAGACCATCAAAGGCGTTCTAGAAATACTAAGTGCAGTGTTTCGAGTAGTTGAGCGTCACGTCCATAACATGGGCCGGGCGAAAGATCCGGCAGCGCAGCAATGCTGTTGATGATGCCGGAGGCGCCGCCCCCTATGAGTGGAACCCATCAGACCCGCCGTCCGGACCGCGTCGGCGTTGACCAATGCAACTTAAATAGGTAAAGTTCCAAGGCATATCGTACGGTCCGCGCGCGAGCTCGTCCTACTGGTCAGAAGCTTCCCACTCGGCATGTTTACACAAGTCAACGAGAGAAGCAAGTAGGATGTGGGTGAGCATAGTCGAAGGCATCCAGATATCCCATGAACTGAACCACAGCGGCGCATATCGCCAGGATGTGAAAGATGGCATGGGAGCCCCATAGATCGAACTTTCCAGGGTATCGACTTTCGGGATATCTGGTCTTAGAACCACACGTATTAGGTTCGATTTTTTGTGCAAGACTGGGGGACTTACTGCATAAAACGAAGTTCCAGACAGAAGGCAGCCTGCTTTTGCCAGAGTATAGAGAAAAGCTTTTTTCATCATCCGCGACATACCGAACACGATGAGTCCATGAACCAAAGGCGCAACACCGGACAAGCCAGTCGCTACGAACATCAATGCTCGGAAGAGTCGATACTTTGCGCCTTGGAACTCGGGATGCATCGTCATGAAGATGGTCAATGTCCCGAAAACTCCAATCTGTCAACCGACGAAAGAAGAGTGTTAGATTCAAAATACCAGGTCCGAGATGAGGAAGAACAAAACTGTGCGCATAGAGATTGACTGACCATAGACCAGTAGATATTGCGTGTCAAAGTTTCACACCAGAAAACCAGATATACTCCCAAGACAAGGTCACCCAGCATGAAGATCACTACGCCCAGCATGTCCAGTCGTAGGCAGAAATGTTCCATGTGTTTGGAATGGTTCATCAAGGTGTGGTACGTCGCTGACAACGATAGACACGTGAACGCCGCCAATAAGAAGATCGAGAAAGCAATGAAATCGGAGTCAGTGACTCCAGAGTATCTGCTGGTAAGGTACTGCCGGATATAGCACTGGCCGAGAAGGAAGGAAAGGGCAGGGATGAGGTGGGAATAAATGTTCACCGACTGGTTGTGGACATACGACCAACTGTAGAACGAATCGCGAGCCGAGCCTGAGATGGGTCGATAGCCATGGAAAATCCACTGGTTTGATTCAACTCGGAACCATTCCGGCATCTCATCGAACGAGAGAAGAACTGGACCTCCGGCTTTGCCGGCCTTGGGTTGGGTGTCGCTCATGGATTCCATTCCCCGCCCTTTTTGTGCCTCCGGCGGCTGTGCAGACCAGGGTTCTTGAGACATTGATTGGATACTTCTTCGGTTGCCTGCGTTTCTAGACCAAGGGACATCCAGAAACTGAATCGTGATCAGCGAGTTGGAAATCACCTGTACGCCCACGATGAGACTGGAGGAGCATAGTGATCGAGAGCCCGTCTGTATTCTCGCATGGTCGTTGCTGTACTCTTCGTTTGGCTGATGTTTTGCTTCCCATAACAATGCGCGCGATGTTTTGGAGAGTCGACATCGTCCCAAAAATTGTCAGACAGTAACAACGCCTCAGCGCCGACGCTCCTGGAGTTTCTCTTATCCTGACCTGCGCGCTGGCCGGAGATGGCATTTAGCGGATGCAGTGATTGCGACCCAAATAGGAGCGGAACCCGGCAGCCTCGGGAGGTGCAGGACCCCGTAGCCCATTACGGTCGGATTGCCTCCTGCCATCATTCGACATGCCACGCAGCGACCCAGAACAAATTCGTACGCAAGGATGGAATTCTCTGTTTCAAGAAAGGGCGCAGGGTTGATGGCATCTGTGAATGGCTCACACAGCATCCCCAGTATCAAGAGTGGCTGGCAGATGCGAATCACCCAATTCAGTGGATCTCAGGTGGCCCCGGAAAAGGGAAGACCATGCTAGCGATTTATCTAACCGAGGTGCTAAAGCCAATGGTTTACGGCGCCGACAATGTCCTCCTCTACTACTTCTGCAGTATCCGCGACAAGAATCGGAACACCGCATTGACCATCTCGAGAGGCATCCTGCATCAATGGACCCACCTCCGGCCACATCTGGCCAAAGACGTCAAGAGCTCTTTCGAGGGGACGGAAACAAATAAATATACCATTTCCAGTTTTGTCTCGTTGTGGAGGGTTTTCCTGACTCTACTCCAGCGAAGCACGTCTTCCCAGCTAGTTTGTGTTTTGGACGGTCTTGGATGAGTGCGAAAAGGAATCACTCAGGTAGCTTCTAGATGCCATTGATACTTGTTTGTCGAAGTCTGGCGAAAAGGGAAGGCCACGACTGAAGCTTATTATCCTCTCCGGACTTCAGTCGGCTGTTTTGGTGAGCAAACCTGGCCAATGTCAGCAGATCCAGTTGGACGCCTCTAACGCGGAAGTTTCACATAACCAAAGTTGCTGAACTGACATCTAAGCAAAACCTTTCCGAAGAAAGGGTCGCACAGATTCAGCAGACCTTGCTGGCTGGCGCTGATGGGACCCTTCTGTGGGTTGGATTCGTTGCCAATGAGCTCCAGGGCTGGAGCTGGTGCAAAATCGATGAGGGTCTCCGCCATATTCCTAAAGGCCTGGGTGGGGTTTATCAGCGACTTCTCAGCGGATCGGCGAAAAGGAAGCAGTGGTTCCCATTCTTCAATGGGTCGTGCTCGCTGCCCGGCCCTCACGCTGGAGGAACTGACCGTGGCAGCAGGGATCAAGACGGTTGATACCCGTACAGCAATGCAAGTGACCAGGAATCGGCTCAGGCTCAGCTGGTTGCAACCGTTCCAGGAATACCTATCAGTACAGGTGAAACGGGGGGCTTGGAGCGGTTACATGTGTGCGAGCGAGAGAGGGTCGTGGACGACGAATCGGCTCACTAGGGTGATTGACCGCGCATAAACCACTCTGCCAGTCATGACACTCAGCTCACTCGTTGATATTCTTGGCATAATTCTGCATGATCCTGCATGATCTTGCATGGTTTTGCATGGTTCTGCAATATTATGCGCAAAAATGGTGCACCTGGACACGAACAAGCGCAATTTCTCGCACGAGCTACTGCGGCCTAGTGAAGAATGGCACAATTTTTCCCTAAGCAAGTCTTCAACATACTACCGTTGCGCTCCATATTCAAGATATGTCGCATGCTTCTAGTGTGGCAACCTACAAAGCTCCTTAGCCCCAATATTATGGCTTCATACCAAAGTCGAGCATGAACCACCCGGGGGGATGCTCGGTAGAACCGAAATATCGTTCCTCATGTGGGCGAGAGATAAGGACTCGATGAACACAGGCTTTTGTCGAATATCAACTAGTATCAGTCGGTTGACAATCGGCTACATGTAATCCGTCTCGTATGCTGGCATCCGTGCCGAGCCTTCGGTGCGTGCGATCGGTCGCAATGGCACCGCTTTACGGGTTTGTTCGCCACATAAAGAGGCCTAAGCATGCATGGCAAACAACTCGCTTAGTTTCCCGGCTGGGTGCGCAAGCTCCTGCAGAAGTCTGTGCCTGTACAGAGGTAGCAGGACTCTCCTATCAGTAATCGCTACATCGGCAAGATTTGCGAGTCTCGTACAAGTCAACTGACTCTTCTAGGAGGTATGGCACTTCCGAAGAGTAACTCGCACGTTACCATCGTCTAGCGAGAGTTTGCAACTGTGTAGATGCGCCTTCGAATGCTGAAGAATACACCGATCAATTGACGAGGCACCCTTCCTTCTAATGTGCACCCACTTCTCGGCTATGCTTGCGAAAACAGAGAAGCGCGTTGAGGTGTCTCGAATCGGATCGTAACCCCTTCTGGGTTCTGTCGGCGCGAAACTTTCGCAACATGTGGCCCGCATAACCCCATACCATCGTGAGCGGACTTCACGAGTATAGCCTCCGAATGCATCCAGAGTCGTTGGACTCCGACAGGACATCGCGATGATCGTGCCGCTGCCTGCGCCGTAATGGTGGGTGCTACATAGTCGCGTGAGCAATGAACGTGACCCTGTGCCTGTTGTTATCGCTACAGGCGGGATCGTCACCCCATGAGGCTATCCGTTCATTCCTGTTGCGGTCGTCGCGATAACGTGCCAAAGGGTCCGTCTAATGGCCCAATTCTCTTCCTCGATCTCTGCAATGTCTCTCCCAAAGTTGTACTAGGTTGTTTTCTCGCGTCACGCACGGGCATCTGTTGTTTACCCATGGAAGGCTTTTCGGTGATCTGAGAGCTGCTATACTTGGACGACCTTGAGATGTTCTGCAGGAGGGTCGGTGTTTTGTTCCAGCTATTCCATGGCTCAGCCGTTCGAAGTAGATCCCACCCTCATAGTTATTTATAGTCGATGATGCTCATTTTTCTTGTCAAATTCTAGTCTTTCGAAGAAGCGTGCTTTCGATTCACTCTGCGCGAGAAGCGCTAGAGGAGGAGCCACTGAAACTGTTCAGCATTCGACCACGAAGAACAAAGAACAGAAATAATAGAGCTGCTGTTCACACAAGTGAGGACCAGCGAAACTCTGCCAAGCTCAAGACAAGGCGAACTCGCACTGATAGCGTAGTGGTGAATGCCACGGCGGCGTCCATACCTTCCACTGCTCACTAGCAGCGCTATCGATCCGAGGGCCATGGCGGTCGGGGACCTGCTATAGCTTTGGGTGCGGATACAGCGAGGTATGTAATTGTACCCGCATATTGAAAGTGCAGTGCTCGTTCTTTACATTGTTCGATAGTGTTGACCTTCGATAGTGGCAAGTCTCGTAGCGCGCGTTCGATAGATTACGATGATTCCGCATCTTTCAATATTGTTAGCGTTGTAGCATCAGCTTCGTGAGGAGAGACTCTGGGCCTGGTCCGTGGCTACTCGCAAGGGAAGGTCGCGTAGGCGGGGTGGGGAGATCGTTTTGAGCGGAGGGAAGGCCTTCCGGTACCGTTGGCTCTGTAGAAAGTCTTCTGCTCGGCAACTCACTCGCCCTTGTGATAGGCGTAGTATCGTGGTCAAAACGTATCCTCTCCTAAAGAAGCGATGCGGCTGGTCGTCTCCGACAAGGCGTAGGCTTCTCTGCAATGAAGATGCAACGAGCTGGTAGACTACTGGCATTCAGCACTGCGACCTTTGACGGGGAGCAGTCGTCCAGTATCGCATCCACGGCTGCCACTGGTGGCGAGAACCGGAGTCATTCGGCGACCGACTGCCATCTCAAGTTCGAAAAGCCCGACCGAGAAGAAGACGAGGGTGCGGTGTAGAGGTCTGAAACCATTAATCAGCTCACAGAGTGTCGACATGTTGGTTGGCTTTACACGTGACCTTTATAAGCTATGATTGGCCTTTCGGACAGCTCCGGGAGCTTCCGCGGTGGAAAACTAATTAAGTGGCGGGGAAGTTCATCGACAGGCGATCAAAAGGCGAGCTGCAGCGAGTCTTCCGTTTGACTGGCTCGCTTAGCTCTCACACGATTCTTTCTTGGCAAAACTGCACGCCGACAGACGATGAGATATAGTAGACGCGCCTTGCCTTCCCCGAGGCTAAACAGTGTGACGGTTGTTCCCTCGCGGATCGCGTTCCAAAGCAGCTACCTTCTGTCAGCACCCCTCGGTCTCAACGTTACTTCAAATTTGCATTTGGCCTGCGCGAAGCGTCACGCATGGACCAAATTTAAACTCATAAGGTGGCGTAACGTGACTCCGATTCGTTTCAAGCTACTGAATCAGAAAGGAACCTGGCGCAGCGCGTCTCGCGAGATCCCTGGGTTTAATGCAGCAAGCACGCAAGCATCGTCGGGATCTGATTAGCGGTGATGCCGAAGGGATGGAAGGCCTGAAACGCCTTCCTTGGTGGCGTGTGGTTAATGTGTATTGGACGAGCCTTCACTCGGCCCGTGTGCGTTCTGAAACCTGTGTAGAAAGGGTGTGGTGGATTCTCTTGGCAGAATCTGATCGTGGACGTGTGGGCTGTAGTTGGATCCGTCGATCCGGTGCTGCCGCTCGCGGAAGCTCTCCCGGAGACGCTAGTCAGCTAGAAGGTCCACTACAACCAGTAGCACATGCTGCAATGGTGCACTCGGAACGCTCGTGCGTATATCCGATGGCTCTGGTTGGGTGGAAGAAGAAAAACGCCGAGCTCTCCCCGTAGCGGCTGCAACTCAATTCATCGGCGCGCACTTTCCATCACTTTCCATACCCGCGCCCGCCAAATCATATCCTTCAATTCTTTCGGACTCTCTTTATCCAACGTTTGAGATAACTCACTGCCGCCAAACCTGTTCTTCTGCATAAGCCCAATATTCACTTTGATACTCTCAAAATACGCGTTGCACGAAATAGACGACCGCCAACAACAGGCGAAGCTGCCGTCGGTGCTACACCGCGTATCGATCGTCAGACTCCCTGCTGCACCCGTAATTCATCATTTTGGGAATCTCTGCGCACCCATGAGTGGTGGCACTGGGCCTTTGATGCCCACTTTCCAAGGCTTCGTATCGAACACGGAGGAAGGGCTGATGTTGTTCGAGGCATGCCTGAGTGGGAAGCTTCACCATGTAGTCCGCCGTGTGCACGACAGGGAGCGACCACACCTCATCAAGAGCGGCAGTGTCTTCATCTACGAAGAGAACGCATCAGGCATCAAGAGATGGACTGATGGCGTCGCCTGGAGCCCCAGTCGCATCCTCGACAACTTCCTCATCTACCGCGAGCTCGAGAAACCATTCCCACCGGGCGAGAAGAAACGCGCAATGAAGCGCAAACGCCAAAGTGTTCCAGGCGACCCCTACCCTCGCCGCGACTCGGATGAGAACGACGTAGGAGATCATTTCACGTCAATCACTCCTCCAACACCAACCGCGAACGGCGAAGTCAAGTCGAAGCAGCCCACCAGCGAAGCCGACAAAGACATGGAACGCCATCTGATCGGCTCGCTGGTCGACAGTTACGGCTTCCGGCCGGGCGGCCTCGTGAAGAAGACCATGAGCATCACCATCAACAACATCTCGCACCACATGGTCTCTTATTACAACGTCGACGATGTGAAGAACGGCAAACTGCCCAGTCCTCAGGCCGACCCGCGTCTACACGGCATATCGATCAGGCCGGAGCTGTACCTCAAGCAGAACTTCCGTTCACCTATCGAGGATGGCGAGCATCTCGCGCTCGACGGCAGCACCCCATCGCACTTCCCCCAGTCGATGTACCGAATACGGCAGCCTACCGCCAACGCTTATGGCCTTCCCAGCTCGGCGTGGCCCACCCAGCAAGGCGCACCGCCAGTCACATACGGAAGTCTTGCACCTCAACAGCAAAACGGTGGAGCGATCGCGTACGGAAATCTTCCAGGGTACAATGGTCTAGGGTTCAACAACTACTACAGGTCGCAAGAGCAACAAACTACGAGGATTGAGGACGGGCCGACAACAAGCTCCAACTGTGTGGCGAGCTACACTTATCTGTCATACGCACCATGGATCCCTTCATACGGATCGATCAGTGCTCCTGGGGTATCATTCAACAGCACTAGGAAGCAGAGCCCCATGCCGAGCCCGACGGCCCAGACGTACGCGGCTTAACCATATTCGACGCAACGCTACCGGTAGCACATGGCCTTCCACGAGCGGCGTATTTACGGCGCTAGATCGGGTAGTGGCATGATGAACACGGGAAGTAACAGGTTTGACGTGGCGGTGATACCGACACAAAGGTAATGGCTTGAAAGGACAGATACGAGACTGAATATTTTGTTCGTCAGCTTCGGGTGGGAAGGGCAAGGGTTTTGCAGCGAGCTAAAAGTGTCGCTGGCTTACTGTACATACCGCTATTGCTTGAGTGCTACTATACAATACCATTCTCTTTCAAGCGGGCTACATGAATCTCCCATCCTCGGTCGACGCCGCATAGAGGTTGCTTACTCTAAGTGGATAGTATGACATCAATCTGGAAGGCATATACTAGAGTCTATCTTATTAGAGCAGTCCTTATTATACTTGTTCAAGAAAAAGATATCATTCAAGGCTATGAAAAGCGTTATATGTAGACTATATAAAAGACTAGCCAAAGATAAGGTAAGCTAAAGTAGAAGCTTAAAGACTTATCTCTAGCCCTAAAGAAATAGCGGCATACTAATGACTCTATCACTAGTCAAGCGAGATAGTCGTCGAAGATATGTTACTACAAGTAGCATTCAAGATATAACGAGAATATGCCGCGTACGTTACAGATATAAGGTAAGAGCCCAAGAACTCTTCGAGCGTACCCTTTTCTTTTCTAGTAGGCCATCTCTCCCATTGCGACTTGACGTCGATAGTGGCAAAACAAGCAGTAGGTAAATAAAGATCCCTCGATGCATTCGACTATGTGAGTCATGCTTAGGAGAATTCATCACAAGTTCCATTCGTCGTAGTCAAGCAAAGTGTCCCTAGTATGTCAGCAGAGGCTCGTGGCATATCATTGCAGATGACGTTGTTTCGGTAGCATTGCCTGCAGTCCATCGAGCTAACCACACTGGACGAGAAAGACTGAGGCGGTAAGGCATCCTCAACATATAGATACTTTGCTAGTTGAGGCGCACGAGTAAGGTTATCTTAGGTGGGTTCAAAATGCCTTCAAAGGATGTATTTGGTGCTGTTGGTGCCGCAAGTGACTGCGAAGCAACCGTTGCCGGCGACTAGAGCACGGGGCCAACAGTGCAGGTCTGGTTGTGCTCAATGTCCTCGCTGACAGAGATCTGCGGCCTGTGTCTGGAGAGAGTGCAGAGCTACGTCCTCACCACTTGATTTGTGAACCAGGCGGACCTCTTGTGTCTTGGAGCTATGGCCCGGCAAATTCATTCTCTTGTACAATTGGGTAAGCAGCTCGGCATCGTGGGAACCTGGTCCAGCGTCTTTGGCCATCGGCGTAGGAACGTCAAGTATCTCGTATGGAGCACTACCACGTCTTGGGCTCCTGCGACAAGTCTCGTCATGTCGTGTATACCTTACGCGGATATCGTCGCGTAGTTCGTGCTCCTCCAGGAACGAGTAGATTGTGCTGCGGAACCCTACACGACTCATGCTACAAGGACATTCCATCGTGTAACAGAACCACAACCGTAAGACGGTTAGTCCGCAACCGGTCGCGTCACGACAGCTCCCTCCCTGCGATCGTGGTACATCGCTGCGATCGAGGTTTACCAAGCGGATCGTAGGTCCATCTTTAGTGCAGCTGCCTCGGGCCAAGTCATCATGGATGATGGCAAGATGCATGTCGTTACGTTTGCGAAATTCGCCATCTGCGAAGTTGACAATCTTGAAGGGGCCGTCTGCGTGGTGTTCGGAGTCCCCATTCTCGTTCTCGCTGCTAGCATCATCGATATATTGTACGCTCAGTCCGTCGAGTCCTGATCTGTTTGAAGGCTTGTGCTTATTCCAAAAAGAGAGAATGGCGTCGCAGAACATATCTTCCGTCATGCTACACGAGCAAGGGATCAATTCCTGGAACTCAAGTCGAAGCACAGCGCGGAAGCATCCGCGTGGATTCGAGTGGAATACATTGGAAGATTTCGACGAGTCGCCTTGGTCTTTCTCCGTAAGATTCGTAGGGAGTGACATGTCTGCAGACACTGTAGTGGTAAACGTCAGCGTGAAAAGCGCCAAAACAAGCTGTAGCATTCTCATGCAAACAATGTTTGTGCGAAATGAGTCATGGTAGGCTAGTCCTTGCCAATACCCCATCACCAATTCGACTTTCTGAGTCTGACGTAATGTTTGAGGAAAGCCAGCCCGAGGAGATGTTGTCCGTTCTACCATGTCCAGGGTCGTTCTTTGCCAATCTCCGGCATAGCGTCAATGATCTGCCCATAGCACTTGATCAAGATTTGATGGTGATTGGGTACGTCACGTGACTTGATTGAAAGGGGTTGTCAAGCGAGTCACGTGGGGAGAAATGCGGAACATGGCCGATGAGATTTCAAGATAGCCTCTCAATCCGCTACGATGGATCTTCATGAGGAACGTAGGCATGGAAGAAGGGGCGTCTAGAGCCTTCCTGACCTTTCGTGCGAGCACTGTCGGTGACCCTTGAGTGGCCGCTTCTTTAGAAATGCCTCAAACCAGGAATCAACACGCGCCTCACTAGCCGGTCGCCACCGTGTAGGTGGCAAAATACATCGAAAGGTAGATAACTCCCACACTGCGAAGAGCACTGCGAAGAGCACTGCGAAGAGCGCGCGTGCGGCCGAG